CCGGGCGCAGCATGGGCGGCCCGCGGGCCTGGGCGCCGCTCTGCCTCGGGCTCCTGCTGCTGGGGGGCAGCGCCGCGTGGAGCGTCGGAGGAGCCCAGTTCTCTGGACGCAGGTAAGGGCTGGGACCCCCTCCACCTCGGTCCCGGGCAGCCCCCAACCTCGATGCAAGCCCAGGATTGGGAAGGGTCTCCCGTCCCCCACCTTGAGGCCATCCCGGGGTGGGAGTAAGAACGACAAACCGGCCCCTCTCTGGCCCAGGCTTCTGGGAGTGTAGGGCTCCACGACCTCACTCTCTCCCAGCCGTTTCCCCCATAGAGCCCAAGAGGAGGGGAAAGGGGCACGACGAGGACAAGCCCCCCAAGACTTCCTCGTCCTGGCCCAGGGGCCCCTCCCGTTGCACATGGGAAAGGCCCAGGACACCCCTAGCCGCTCCTCGGGGTCCCCCTCCCCTTTTCCCTGCTCCTGGCTTTTTTTAGTCCTCAGCTATTTATTTCACTCTGAGGGAAGGCCTAGGGTGGAGCCTCAGAGCCCTCGGGGTCAGTGTCAGGCCCCCTGGGACCTGGCATTTTGGACACAGACAGAATCTTCCTGTGGCTCTCCTGGGAGTCGGGAGCTGGGAATGTTCTCTCCAGCTGGCATGTATGGAGCGTCTATTAGTACCTGTTCTGTGCTGGCCCCTTACAGGCAGGCTCTTAGATTAATCCTTCAAGGACCGAATGGGTTAGGGAGCATGGTCTCCATTTAACAGATGAGCAAGCTGACTGAGACTCGGGAGACTAAACGTCACCTTTTAGGCTTATGGGCCATTGATAGAAGAGCTGGGATTCCAATCCAGGTCTTTCTGACCTTAGTGACTGCCTGGAATCCTCCCTGCCCCAGTGCTGCTGCAGTTCCCACCCCTGCCGGGTCCCCTCTCAAGGGCTGCCGCCGTTGTCCGTTGTCCGAGGCAGACAATGCCGACTGGCCAGGCCTCTCTAGGCTTTTTCATCCCATTCAAAGGCCTGTCCAGCCTCCACCCCCCACGGCCTCAATTCGTTAATGCTTTTCAGAAATTCCTTTTTCCCAGTGATCAGGGGCCAGCATCCCCCCACCCCCACCCCACCCCAGCAAGGCTAGCAGGAGCAGGTGACACGGGCAGAGGTGGCCTAGGCATCAGAGTCCAGAGAGCAGTTGCCCAAGGCAGGGATGGATGAGTGGCAGATGTCAGATGTCACAGCCGCCCTCTCCTGTGTGCTGACCATGGCTGGCCTGGGCTAGGCTTTTACCTGCAGCCATCACCTCCAGAATCTTCCCAACCACCGTAGAGACATGTATTTTTATAGTCCCTGTTTCATAGAGGAGGAGGCTGAGGCTCAGAGAGGGAATATGACCTGCTCAAGGCATGAGTGTGAGTCCTGGATCCCAGATGCTAAGGCGACAGAGACAGAACTCGGAATTCCCAGCATCGGCTTGGGATGCTAGTCGAGAGGGCTTAAGGCCCGACTCCCCTTCAGCCAGTGCCGGGCAGGGCTTCCCAGCCTGGCCTCCTCACCCCCCAGCATTTCCTGGGTGGGACGGGGACAACCGGGAATGGAGCTGTGGGCAGGTACCTGGTGGCCACTGGGGACCATCACCCCATTTGCTCACAGGAGGCTAACACAGCAGGCTGAGCATCACGGAAACCCTGTGGGCAATGCAGTCGTCCCCGTTTTACAGATAAGAAGACTGAGGCCTACAGAGATGAGGGACCTGAATCTAGGCCACTCCGTTTTCAAATCCAGTGTCCTTTTCACCCTAGCAGCCCTCCTTGGAGGAGGGAGAGAGGTGGTCAGCTTGGGGGCTGGGGCAAGTTTCAGAGAAAGGTTGCAGGTTGGTGTTAGGCGTTAGGGCTCTGACCTCGGACAGAACGGGGTTTTATTCCTGTCTCTGTTGCCCCCTCAGTGTATGACCTCAGGTGGTTCACTTCATAGCCCTAGGCCTCAGTTTTCCTCTCTGTAAAATGAGGATAATACTCCCACTCCCTGGGCCTGTTCTGAGCATGTGGCCTGACACACAGGAGCCCTCATCAGTGGTTCTTCTATTGTCGACATTAAGTGGGGGAAGGAACCCCAACATGGGGGATTCTGTGGGCCTCCACTGCCAGGACGTCCCTGCATGGCCCCCGTCCCAGGTTGTTGGAGACAGCATGGGGATGTCGCACCCCGTCAGCCCTCCCGTCACCCCTTGGCAGCCAAGACCAGAGACAGAAAAGAGGCTTTGTGCCTGGGGAGGGGGAGGCCTGGGAAGGCATCCAAAGGGCCACCCCCAGCCCCAGGAATGTGGCAAGACTTTGAGACCCCCGGAACCAGGGCTCCCAGGGGCCGTGCTGGAGCCACCTTGGCCCACTCCTGCCCTGCAGCTCCCCCAGTCCCTGCGGAGCTGCTTCCTGCCCCTCCGAGATCCGTCCCAGCCTGAATTGTGGCTTCCTCTGCCAGTCTCAGCGCTGTGGCTCTAGGGTTCAAGCCATCACCAGTGTCCTGGCCCAGGCCTCCTTTGGCTCAAGTGCCAGCTTCCTTTGGGCAAATCCTAGGACCAGGAGAATGGAGAACTATAAGATGGACGGCATGTTCCCCAACCCCTTCCACAGGGCTCAAATCCCAGCTCTTAGGCCCACTGGGTGACCTGGGCAGGTGACTTCTTGGACCCTCAGTTTCCCTCTCTGTAAAATGCCCTACTGCCACCACCACCAGTTGCTGTCAAGTCAGCTCCAGCTCATGGCGTGGCGACCCCACGTGTGTCAGAGTAGACTTGCGCTTCATAGAGTTTTCAATAACTGATTTTTTGGGAGTAGATCACTAGGCCATTCTTCCGAGGCGCTTCTGGGTGGATTTGAACCTCCAACCTTTCGGTTAGCAGCCAAGCATGTTAACTGTTTACACCATCCAGGGACCCCTCTGTAAAATGCAGAGCCTAACACTCGCTTTCCCACAACTGGGGAGAGGACTTGGGAGGAAGGTAGTGTGCAGGTGTCCTTAAGCCCCAGGGAGCCGAGCCTGTGTCCTGGCAGTGGCCCCGCAGTTCAGGAACCAGAATTAGCAATAGCTGCTAGCGCTGCACCAAGCATTTTCTGTGAAACCTCCCCTGCCAGAGGAGATTCTGCTGTCCCCATTTGCAGATGGACAAAGTGAGGCCCAGAGATGGTCAGGGCCTTGTCCAAGGTCACCGAGTGAGGAAACAGCAGAGCCAGGACGAGAACATCGCCTCTGCTGTAGGGTTCTTTCTGGCTCTCATCTCCCCGCCCCCACCCACACGCCTCCTTTCCTTCTTCTCCTTTTCATAATGGCCCTTGGCCCCTGGCCCGCTTGGCTGCCTCCTGCAATTAGCCCCTATTGCTGTTCCGGATCGCAGCCCTGGGCCCTGCAGAGACAAAGTCCCCTGGGCCCCTTGTGGCAGGGGGTGGAGGCAGGTGGGGGGACCCTAGTGGGGACAGCTGGTGCCAGGCTGAGCTGGTCTAGCCTGTTTTCCCCCTTCCCAGGAGGTGCTGAGTGGGCAGACATGGTCGCCCAGGGGAGAAGCCTGCCTTCTGTGGCCCCAGCCCTTGCCCATCTCACGGAGGCGGCTCACCTCAACAGGCCCTTGAGCAGCTCACCGCTGACCAAACCCCAGAAAAGGAAGCCCCCAGGGACAGCAGGGAAGGAGGTGGGGCTTCCAGGGGCTGCACCCACCTCTGGAAACCTCACCTGGCTCCTCTCTGTTCTCCCTCATCCAGCCATTCAGCAACCACCCCTGAAGGCCCTCAGGCTGAGCCCCAGACTGGCTGGTCCCCACTGTGCCCTTCCCCCAGCACCAGGGGCTGAGGAAGACGATCAGGGCTGCAGTGGGTGGCTGTGGGGGCACGTGGAGCACCTGACCCCACCTGGGCCTCATGGAGGCCTGGGACCCTAAGGATGAGTAGGAGTTTGCTAGAGCAGGGGGAGGAGCTTTCCAGGCATAGGGAACCTCATGTGTAAAGGTTCTGAGGTGCGGGAGGAAGGGCGGGACGGAGCAGGCAGGGCTGGCAGGGAGGGCGGTGAGGAGCCGTGGCGGGCAGTGAGCTCCATGCTGGGTGGTAGCAATGTGCAGTGTTAGGTCCTGGCTGTGGAAGAAGCCCCCAGGTGGACGGAGGGTTGACTCTGATTACGTGTCTCTTTGGGCCTGCTGTGGCCTGTCTGTGCCATGAAAGAGGGCCTCTAAATGTGTGTGTGTGCTGCTGTGTGCATGTACATGCATGTGCATGAGGGCCATGTGGCTACAGGTGTGAACCCGTGTACAGGGAGGATGGGAATTTCTGTGGCTACGTGTCCTGCTGGATTTGCCTTGTGTGCACATGTCTGTGTGCTTGTGTGGATCAGTGTGTGTGTGTGCATGTGCACACGTGTGTCAGTGCATACTCGTGTGTGCATTTTCCCAGTCCCATGTGTGTGCTGTGTGTGCATGCATTTACTTGTGTACATGTTGTGTGTGCATGGGGTATTTTTGGTGTGTGTACATGTTTGTGTACATCTGTACACTGGCAAGCAGTAGACATTCCGTGCCCAGGGACTCCCACCTTATCCGGAGCTTTCCTCTGTTCCCTCCCTCGATCTTTCCCTTGCTCATGGAGCCCCCAGGCCAGCCTAGGGAGCCTCACACAGCTGCAGGGAGCTCATGGGCCCCCTGAACTTGGGAACCAAGTTTTATGCATTTTTTGGGAGAGAAGCCGCAACTCACCCCAATTTCCCAAAGGGACTTATGAGCATAAGTCGTAACAAAACCCCAACAGGTTTAGAACCACAGGTCTAGAGACCCAGAGGGCCTAAGGGGTGGGGGCATCTTTTTAAACTTATAAAATCCTCACCTGTTCATTATGAGAAGAATCTCCAGCCTGGGGTGAAGAGTGCAAGTTCTGGGGTCAGGCAGACCTGAACTCCAACTATGACTGTGCCGGTCATGATGGGGGCCCTGGCCATGTCCCCAGACTCCAGAGCCTGTTTTCCCATCTGTAAAGTGGCCATCATAATAGGGTGTGAGAATTCAAATATGCTAATGCATGGAAGGCCCTGGACCTGGCACCTGGTGTGCAACAGTGGCTCCTGTTAGTGCTCCACACTAATACAGACTAGGAAGAAAGGCCTGGTGATCTACTTCCGAAAATTAGCCAATGAAAACCGTATGGATCACAACAGAACGTTGTCTGATACAGTGTTGGAGGATGAGCCCCTCACGTTGGAAGGCACTCGAAATACGACTAGGGGAAGAGCTGCCTCCTGAAAGTAGAGTCGGCCTTGATGACACAGATGGAGTAAAGCCTTCAGGACCTTCATTTGCTGATGTGGCATGACTCAAAATGAGAAGTAACAGCAGCAAACATTCATTAGTAACGGGACGTGGAATGTACATAGATGGCGCAGGACTGGGTAACGTTTTGTTCTGTTACATGTAAGGTCGCCATGAGTTGGAGCTAACTCAGTGGCAACTAAAAGCAACAGCTGTTAGCATAGGATACAGAACAGACACAACACCCCTCACGCCAAGACATGCAATTTGACGTGCGTGCAGGATTTTTCCCAACTTTATGGGCACGTAGCTATATATGTACATACGTGCGTCCGTCGTCTTTTGGCTGTCTCTCTCTTTTCTGAACGGCAGTGCAATCATTCTGTGTCTAGTGGTCTGTGCTCACTTTCCCCCCCTTAACCAGGGATGGTGGATGGTCTAGAGTTCGCACATGGACACCTTGGGCTCTGGAGCAGTGTCCGATTTTCCATGTCTGGCTATTCCGTAGCCATTTGGGCTGTCCTGTTTTGTGCAGTTACTGACAGTGTTGCAGCAAGCACCTGTCACCTCTACTGTGGGGACAGCTGGCCCAGGCTCTGTTGGGCTCCTGCTACTTCCTTGGGCCAAACTGAACAAGCACTTCTCCCAGCTTCCCAACTGCCACGGCTCTGCCCGGGCGGTTTCCCCTCCCTAAGCTGATTCCAGTTGGATACACAAAGGTGCAGGGACTTCCCCAGGATCCCAGCCAAGGACTTTCTCCTCCTCATGGACAACATGGGGCCAGGGCAGCAGTGGGACGGACGGCAATGGGGGTGGGCACCTCCAGGGTGGCCGGGACATTCCAGGTGCTCAGCGGCCCTCAGCCCCGACACAGGGTCACGGGCCTTGTGCTTTTTGTTGGGGCTAGGGAAGGCGGGAAGGTTTCAGGTGACCCTCCTCAGCCTGAGCCCCCTACCCAGCCAGACTTTCCTTTGTGGCCTCAGCCCAGGGTCAGCTGGTTCCCAGGCTGGGACCTTCACAGAATCATGGACCGTGGCTCAAGGATATGGGGAGGAGATGTGTACCCCTAGGGTGGGACCAGAGGCCAGGCTGGGCCATCCACATTCCCAGCCCCACCACGCACCAGCTGTGTGACTTGAGCAGTTGTCTTTACCTCCCTGAGCCTCAATTTTTCCTACGTGAAACGGGGCAAGGGTGCCTTCCTGCCTCACTGTGGGACGATGTGTAAATACCTATAGCATACAGTACGTGCTCAGTATGTGCAGCTATGATTATGAGTTGGCCATTGGAGAAGTTAGTCCTCCATGCTTGGGACATCGATTACTGATTTGGGACATCCTGGCTGTCACACTGAGGGGACACAGAGATGGGTGATACGGGGGCCAGACACAAACCCACAGCTTAATTCAGCCTGATGAGTGCGTGGCAGTTGGCTGCACAGAGCACTGCAGGACCCAGGGCAGGGAACCAGGGTTTCTGCTTGAGTTGGGGTGCAGGTGGGAAGGGACTCCGGGGAGAAGGGACAGCACAACCAGGCTTTGAGGGTTGGAAGAGTCAGTGAAAGGAGTCCCTGAGTGGCTCAGAGGGTTAAGCATTCGACCATTAGCTGAATGATTGGCGATTTGAATCCCTCTAGGGGTGCCTCAGAAGACAGGCGTGGCAATCTGCTTCCAAAAGGGCACAATCTTGAAAACGCTATGCAGCAGTTCTACTCTGCACACACGGGGTTGCCGTGAGTCAGAATTTACTCCACAGCACCTAACAACAACGGGTGCCGGATGGAGAAGTAGGGGGAAGGGCACGCTAGGCAATGGGCCAGCAAAGGCCTGGAGGAATGAGGTTTTACAGCAGGTGTGAGAATCGGGGTCCCGGAGGGCTAGGGGTGAGGGTAGGCAAGGGAGGGTCAGGGCCAGGTTTCCGTTTTATGACAGTCCATCTAGTGGAGCATCTGAGGGGATAGGACAGAGGGCCACTGCTATCATCCAGGTGGGAGGCGGGCGGTGGCAGGGGCCCAGATGGGTCAGGTTTGGAAAGAAGTCAGTTAAGTCTGATAAGACACCTTACCCCTATCTTGCCCCCTGTAGCTCACTCCCCAAGACCTCCTGAGAGCCCCCAGCTCAGCCGTCCCCCCTTGGACCATGGAATTCACCCCTCAGCCACGGGCAGCACAGGGACAACCACTCAGGGCCCAAAGGACTCTGGGGACTCAGGGATCTCTCTCCCTGGGACCTGGGGCTCCTCGCCCATCTCCCCAGGGTCCTGGGCAGGGACTGGGCTTGGGACCTGAGCTCCTTCTTTTTGGGTCTGTTTCAGAAACTGGTGCTCGTACGTGGTGACCCGCACTGTCTCATGCCACGTGCAGAATGGCACCTACCTTCAGCGAGTGCTGCAGAATTGTCCCTGGCCCATGAGCTGCCCGGGGAACAAGTGAGTCCATGGTGGGGTGGGCACTGATGGGCCTTCCAGATGGAGGTAAAGGCCGGTGGTGGGGTTGTATGCAGTGCAAGTCAAGGATGGGACTGCAAGGGTAGGTGGAGCAGGGGGAGCCATGGCCCTATACTTGTCCTCAGCACCTCCCATGTGCTCTTGAGGCACCTCTGGAGGAGGCATTTCGCCATTCGCCTGCATTCCTGAGTGTTCACTGTGGGCGCCAGGCCTGCCTAGCTTGCAGGGGCTTTCTGTCCAGTTGGTATCCAAATCCTCCCACCCAGGGGGAGTGGGATGGCTGAACCCCAGAATGCAGGAGAAGAGAGGCTTCCAAAGGGGCCTGGAGGAGGCTCTGTGGGAGAGGTGGCGGAAGGCCCCTGTCTGAGCCAGGCTACCTGGGCACTCTTTCAGCTACAGAACCGTGGTGAGACCCACATACAAGGTGATGTACAAGACAGTGACCGCCCGAGAGTGGAGATGCTGCCCCAGGCACTCGGGGCCAGGCTGCGAGGAAGGTAGGACTGCCCGCTGGCTCTGGAGCCCCTGCAGTGGCCAGGTGCCTCCCGCTGGTGCCTGGGAGCCTTTGAGTATTGCTGAGTCAGTAGCTGCTGCCCATGCACACTGTGCGCGCTGGAGCCGCTGCACAGAGCTACAGGGCGAGGCGCAGCCCGGACATGAGTTGGTGCCTGCTGCTCCTGGGCAGTGACCACGTGCCTCTTGGGGGACTTGCAGAACCCCTGGAGGAAATTTCATATGTGCCATATAACTCACATTTGAAGACACACCATCCCGAGCCTTTATTCCAGACTTGGGAAACCCTATGCTGACGTTTCCATGGGATGTGGTAACAGATACTGCATAGAAATCCCATTTCATTCAAGATGGTAGCTCAGCAAGATGGGGACCATTATAAGGTGATGGGCACCCAGCTCCTAAGTGGCAGAGTCAGGATTTGAACCCTGGCCTGCCTGGCTCCAGGCCCCCGCCCCTTCCCCCTTCCCCCAGGGCCTCAGGGATGGGAGGACTTGGCTGGGCACCCAGTGTACAGAGCGTGTCCCAGGCAGAGGGGCCAGCATGCCATCTCCCTGTCACACCCACCCTCCTTGTCTGAAGTTTAGGATGTCTCTGGCCAAGCACCAGGGAGGGGCACTAGGGAGGCAGCCCTGCCTTACCAGGCCGGGCCCCATAGCTACCTGAGAGCCCTCACCCAAGGGTACCTGTCTCTCTGCTGGCGTCCTGGCTGCTGCCACCCCCACTGCCTGACTGAACCCACTGAGCAATAGATTTTCAGGCACCTGGGGGCATATTCCAAAGAGTGACCCTAAAGAGGATGGACTGGCCTCAAACCAGCCAACATGCAGACCCATCACCAGCAACAGCCATCTCGATGGAAATAGGCATTCAGGGTCCCCAAGGCAGCACACTAACATAAACTGCCCGATGCAGGAGGCATCATGATTGAAGAAGCATGAATGTGGGACCTGACACCATCCATTGATGCTTCTTGAGAGATTTGCATGCTTCACCTCCCTACAGCAGCCCCAATTCACAGATGGGGCAACCAAGGCCTAGAGAGGTGGTGTCACCTGCCCAGAGTCCCACAGCTGGGAGGGCAGAACTCACCATGCAGTGGGGAAGGGTGGGGCCTTGGCAGGTTCCAGATACAGGAAAGGGGAGCCAGCCTGAGCCCCTGAACCCCTAAGCCGAGCAGTGTCCCCTGGGAGAGGCAGCAGGCATGCGTCAAGGAAGCTGGGAGCAGGTGGACATCTGGAGGGGAGCCGGGACCAGCACCCTCTCCTCCCCATTGCGTGTGAGAGGCAAAGAGAAGCCAGTGGAAGAGGAGAAGGTGGCAGGGCCCGAGGGGCAAGAAGAGAGCCAGCCGGGAGGGGCCTGTGCCAATGAGGCCACAGGGGAGTGGTGGTAGGGAGGAGGTGCGTCACCAGGGTATGGGGGCCACCTGCCCGGGAGACACGAGCAGGCAGAGCCTGCTGAGGCAAAGGCCACTCTGTCCTTGGATCCCCTCCCAAGGGCAGCCCTTCCCGGGTCTGTGGGGCCTTCACAGAGCTGGCAAGGGAGGAGGACAGGTGGGGGCAGCACCCATGCCCTCCTTGAGTCCGGCTGCTGGAAGCCTCGCGTCCAGAAGGCTGCCAGCGGTGAGGGGAGCAGCAAGACAGGCTGGGGCCAGGCCAGTCCTGACATCTGCCAGCTCCCTCTTTGGAGCCTTCGGGTCCCTGCCCTGGGACGGGGGTTATCCAGGGCTGCATGGGCCAGATACACAACAGCTGTGTGGCCTTGGGCTGAGGACTCTCCAGTGCATTGTGTAAGCTGTTGTGCAAGGGTGCCCGGCTGGGGAGGCTGGGGAGGTGGTGGGCTGGAAGCTGGCCGCATGCTTCTTGTGCCCACTCAGAGGGAGGGGCTCCAAGCTGCCAGCAGAGTTGTAGCAGCCTGGGTTTCCCCTCACTGAGGCCCGTGTCCTCACCTGTGCAAGGGGCAGGATAAGCGGGCCTGCCTCACAGGGATGTTGTGGAGTGATGAAGCAGCAAGGCACCAGCACATGGTGGTGGGCACTACGTGATGACTGACAGGACAGGAGGGGTCTCTCCCCACCCACAGGGTTGGACTGAGAAAGGGTAATGGGAAGCCGGATGCCCAGGCCTGAATATTCTGGAAGACTGCTCAATGGGGCCCAGTGATGTGGAGCGGAGATACATGGGGACGTTGCTCTTCCATTCTGGGCCAGCCCTTCCTCCTGACAGCCGAGTTCAGGCTGGGCTCCCCCCAGCTGTTTCCCCTGCTGGTGATTGCCCTCATGTCCTGCCCAGTGTTGTGATCTGACCCTAGGGCCTCAGAGCTGCGTCACCAGGGGCAGCTGGGACTGGGGGCAGCCTGAGGTGGGTGACAGAGGGGAGGGAACACCTGTCCTTCCAGAATCCAGCCCTGGATTTTCTGCACCCTGCTGTGTGGCCTGGGGCAAGTCACTTCACCCTCTCTGAGCCTCTGGTTTATCTGAAAGTTACCCAGGATTGAGAAGTGGGAACTCACACCTGGCACATAGTAAATGCTAAGTAAGTGTCTCCCATCTACTTGTGCCCCCTGGACTGAGGATGCGGTGGTGACTCCCAGGGAGGGCCTTGCCTCCTCCCCTCACCCCATTTCTCCAGCAGCTGCTCAACACACAGGTCTTTACCCCTCCTAGCCCTGGTTTTCTCATCTGCAGAATAGGGATAGGAGGATGAATCAGAATAGTCTTGTTTGATGTTCACAACAACCCCATGAAGAAGTGGCAAAAAATGGGCCCCATTTTACAGATGGGGAAACTGAGGCTCAGAGAGGTTAAGGTCATTCAGCACCTGAGAACCAGGATTGGAACCTGCCAAACCAAGCATCCCTGACCGCAGGCCTTGGGAGCTGGGCTGGATGGCAAGGAGGGAGCCTGGTGACCCTCTCACCTGGCCACCCACTCCCACTAGAAACAATGAGCGAGGAAGGGCCAAGGCCAGGAATGCATCATGTGGGCAGCCTGCTGGTAGGACCGGGCATGGGTGGGTGGGCACAATGCCAGGGCCATGTCAGGAGGGTGGGCAGAGCCTGACAGTCGCCCTCTCTGGGCCTGGGCCTGACCCCCTGAGTGCCCCAGGCTGCTGGCTCTGCTGAGAATAATGTGCCTACTGTGTCACCCCTGCCCCTTGGGGCTCCCCAGACACATCTGTCGCCCATCAGCCCATTGTCCAGATGATGAAATTGGGGCTCAGAGAGGATGCAGCTCTCACACAAGATCACACAGCAAGTAAGGGTCATGGTTGGGATTCTCCCCAGGGCCTCTCAGAGCTGCCCCAAATCCTCCCGAAGTTGTAATATGAGGAGGTGAAAGCTACTGCCTTCCTCTGTGCCGGGCCCTGCGGCATGTCTGTCTTCCTGCCATGTCACAGAAGGTCCAGATGTGGACATTGAGGCTCAGGGAGGGGAATGCCTTGATCAGGGTCACAGCCTGTGAGCAGCGGTCCTGGACTCAAACTCGGTCAGTCTGAGTCTGGAGCCAGGGTTCTCTCTCTCTCTGCAGCAGTGCTGGCTGTGAACTCGGAGGGGTGCGTGTTCAGACAGCTGGGGTGCCGTGAAGCTGGTGGAAGCCAGTCCCAGCCCATGCCCTCCCAGAGAGAAAGAGGGGCTGGGGGCTCCCTCCCTCCCTCTCCCTTTGGGCCCCTGGAGCTGGGCTGCCTCCTTTTCCCCATCACTGTCCCTGCTGTCCTCGGAGCACCAGTCCTCTCCCCATCCACAGACACCCACAATGCCTCTCCTCCATGACGGGGAACTGGAGACAGGAAGAAGCTTGCCTGAGCTCACACAGCAAATGAGACTCGAAGTTCCAGCCCAGGCCCTTTCCTGGGCCTCTGGGCCTCTCAGCCTCTCAGCCTCTCCCACCATCCGGGGTGGGTACTTTCTTGCACACATTTCTTGCATTCTAACCAGGTGCCAGCCACAGTGCTTTACTTTGCTGTTTCAGAGTACAGAGGGCTGACACTGCAGGAAGCCAGCCACCCTTTCCACCCTCGCTCCTGTCTGGGAGGCTGGGCAGCCCCCACCTCCCCATCTCTCCTGCAGATCTTCCTCCAGGCCTGGCCCAGCCCCTAGCTCCATGTACCCTCTGCCCACATCGGCCTTCTCTCACACCTCACGGCCTTGGCAGTGGCTGTCCCCCCACCAGCTCAGTGGGCCGCACCCTGCTGTCATTATTCCCAGCTCTCCAGTGCCTGGCACAGGCCTGGCTCACAGTGGGTGCTCTGGAAATAAATAGGAACCTCACTATACCCCAAAGAGAGGGCCAGGCTCAGGCTTCCCCAGGCCTCCTGGCTGGGCTGGAGGGTTCTCAGAGCGCCTATCCGAGCCCTGACCTCAACCCCTGGCTAAGCAAATATTTACATTTCCAAAGTAAATTCCCCGAAGGAAACTTGGGGCGGGGTGGCAGGGGAGAAGCAGCACTGAATCCGCTGTGGCCTGTGGTCACTGAGCTGAGCAGACCTGGGTGGGTGGTAAGTTGTGAATGGGGAAGCCCCTCCTTTGTCCTCTCCTGGGAGAGACAGTCTCCGAGGTGGAGCTGGTACACCCTCAGCTTCTCACATCCCCATTCCCAGCTTAGGAGCCATGGTGGCGCAGCATGCAAATCCCGGCTCCCTCTCTTCCCATCTCTGTGAGCTGAGGCAGGCAGCTTCTCCTCCTTGGGCCTCAGGGTTCACATCTGTCTCATGGGGTGAGACAGGGCCACACAGGCCTCTTAGCTCAGGCCCAGCACCCAGCCCTGGGCAGAGGGAAGGGGAGTGCTTGTGGGGGAACAAGGTCAGGAACTGGAGACAGCTGCTGGAGCACAGGAAGTGATGAGGGCTTCAAGGGGTCTTTGGCAAAGGGCAAGCACCCTGGTCTGTTCAGGAAGGCTTCCTGGAGGAGGTGACATAGAGGCAGCAGCTGTAAGGGTGGGGGAGTGTGGCGTGTGTGTGTGTGTGTGTGTGTGTGTGTGTGTGTGTGTGTGTGTGTGTGTATGGAGGGCAGGCGAGGACCTCCCAAGTGGTGGGAAGAGGCTTGAAGGCAGTCTCCCAGAGTAGGGCTGGGGTTTGTGGTCCTGGGACCAGCTGGGCGCTCTGACCGTCAGGGACCCCCTGGGAGAGCGAGATTAGGGCTGGAGAGAGGCCCTTCAGGACAGACCACCAGGCAGGCAAGGAAGGCTCTCAGTCCACTGGGGCTGCTCCAGGGCCTAATCACGCACCAGTGGGAGGGATGGGACAAACTCATCCAACGTGAGACCTTCCCCCAGCTGGGCTTCTTCCTGGCTATAATTTTGTGCAGTGTGGGATAATTTTACAACCTGGTATGTCCCTTCAGGTATTTCTGTTCATTAATCAGAATTCAGGGGAGTTCTTTTCGATAATTTTGGTGAACCCTGAATCCAGAGTCAGCATTTTCTGGTCTTTTTGACAGTTTTGTTATTTCTTTAAACTTTCTTTTCTTTTCCTTTTTTTTTTAAATTTTAATATTTTAATTTTAACTGGTAATTACTTTGAGCCTGTTAAGACTGCCCTGCTGGTCAGGCCATGTTTTCATTAGTTTTGCTCATTCTTCTCTGGCTCCCAGTGAAATGTCCAAAAGCGAATTAGTTGAAAAAAGAATTTCTAACCACAAGTTCTCAGAGTAATAACCGGGGACAACCTAGTGGGATATTAGAACATTTATGCTCATTTTCAAGACCACTGTGTCTGATGTCTATGTTATTCTGCTTTTTATTTTGTTCGCTTGCTTTAAATGCATTTGCAGCCCATGATTCATGCATTTATCGACAATGGGTGCCAGACCCTGTTCTAGGCACTGGGGCAGTGCAGTGAACGAGACAGACAGTGTCCCTGCCTTGGTGGGGCCGGTGTCCCAGCCAGGGCCAGACAGTAGGCCGTGGATGAGGAACTGGTACACTATTCCGCATGTTAGAGGGCAGAAAGAGCTGGGGAAAGAAGGAAAACCAGGGCAGTGTAGCGGGGGGCGGGAGGGCGTGATGATCTGCCAACGTTTGATCACAGAGAAAAACCAAATTGCCACAGGGATGGAGGAGTGGCTGGTGCTTTTTGTTGACTTCCTGAAAAGAATGATAAAATGGCATTTTGTATCTTCACCTGGAAACAGAAAGGATGAGGAGGGTTGGGCCAGGCCATTCTTTTCTCGATCACCAGCATTCCTGCTGGACACTGGGCCTCTCTGCCTTGGACTGATGGGGACTTGGGGGGCTGATGCAAAGTGCAGGGTGGCCCAGGAGAGAGGGGGTCTGGCCCTGGAGTCAGACCAAAACGAGTAAAACCAGTTGTCTTTGAGTGGACTCTGACTCCTGATGACCACATGTGTGTCAGAGTAGAACTCTGCTCCATTGGGTTTTCCATGGCTGATTTTTCAGAACTAGATCACGTGGCCTTTCCTCTGAGGTGCCTCTGGGTTGGACTCAAACTTCCAGTCTTTTGGTTAGCAGCTGAATGCATTAACTGTTGTACCACCCAGGGACTCCAGAGTCAGAGCAACCTGGGTTCGAATCCAGGCTTGAGACCTTTAGGTGGGGCAACAGTGGGTGAGAACCTTCAACAGGGAGAAAGTAGGGATAAGTCCTATTCCCTCATCCTTTTATCTGAGTGGTAATACCAAACTGCCCTGTGCCTCAGTTTCCCCGTCGGTAAGTGGAGGGGAAGCTAGCACCTCCTCACAGGGCTTTGTGAAGATAATGAGTTGAGATTATATATGTGACCTGCTTGGAATGTGCCAGACATGGAGTAAGTGCTACCAAGTATTAGCTATTATTGTTGTTATAAATTGCCATCGAGTCAGCTCCGATTTACGGAGGCCTTATGTGTAACAGAAAGAAACATTGCCTGCGCCATCCTCACAATCTTTGGTATGTTTAAGTCCATTGTTGTCGCCACCGTTTCAATCTTATGGAGGGTTTCCCTTGTTTTCGTTGACCCTCTCCTTTACGCTATTATTATTACCTACCTCCTAAGACCAAACTGGTCCCTGGATGATGCAAATGATTAACGCATCTGACTGCTAACCGAAAGATTGGTGGTTGGAGTCCACCCAGAGGCACGCTGGAAGAAAGGCCTAGTGATCTACTTCTGAAAAATCAGCCATAGAAAGCCCTATGGAGCACAGACACACTTGGGGTTGCCATGAGTTCAAGTTGACTTGACAGCGACTGGTAATTGGTTAAGACCAAGCTGGGCTATATGAAGCACTTAGCGTGGGACCTCGTTCCCAGTGGAAGTTCCTTCTGCCCAGAGGGCCCAGGCCTCTGCCCCAGTCCTGGACTGACAATTTTCACCCTCCATCGTCCTGGCTGAGATTTACCTCATATACCTGGCAAGTCCCAGGCCCGTGGGGAGGGTGTCCTGAAGATGCAGGCCCAGCCTGAGCAAAGGCCCAGCATTGGGACCTGGAGCAGGGCCTGGCAGCCTCCCTGCTGGGGATCAGCCAGAGGGGCCCATCTGGTTTGAGTTCTCGGCGCCTGTCACTCCCTGCACAACCCACAGCCCGCTCTGAGCTGCCAGGCCCGTGCCTTATTTGGATCTTGTCTCCCCCCAGACGATACTTCACAGCCTTAAAAGGCAGGCCCAGTGGCGGGGGAGGGGGCAGAAGTGATAGTTGCCACTGCTGGCTACAGAGCCCCTCCAGCTGTGCCCCCGCCCCGGCTTGGCTAGCCCGTCCCTCCAGCTGTGACTACCACTGTCCACCCCCAAGCCAGACCAGCCAGGACAGCCTGCTTCTCATAGAGGTAGCAGGCTCTTGGAACAAGGCCCCCTTGCCCTCCCAGGCAGCCGCCTCCCTGTGATTTTCATTTAAAACCAGGACTGGATCCACTTCAGTCTGTTCTTACCAAGTGGGGCAGGGAGAGGGTGGACAGCGACAGTTGTAGCTGCCTTGGATGGAGCACCAGGCCCCATGTGGCCTCATCGGCGTCTTTGGGCCTCACACAAGCCTAGGAGGTGTAGAGACCTTATTATCCCATTTTACGGTTGGGAAGATAGGCAGATTCAGGGAGGACAAGGCAGACAGGTCAGTAAGTAGCAGGGCTGCAACCTGACCTGGTAGCCCTAAACTCTTAACCCTGGGACTATCTCCCTTGGCACTGCGAAGAGTAGGGGCTGTGGTGGTGGGTGGGCAGAGGACACGGCCAGCAGGCCTCTCACCCCACCGTCCCTCAGTTGCAGGCTCCTCTGGCCATGTGGAGCCCGGGTGGCCAGGCAACACTATGCGACGGATGGCTCTTCGGCCCACAGCCTTCTCAGGTGGGTCCTGGGGGCAGCTGCTTAGGGTCCCCATGGGCTGGGGGATGGCTGGAGGAAGCACAGGGCAGCGTGGTCACTGTCCTGAACCAGCTGGGTCCAGCTGTGGAGGGTTGGGGACAGCCCCCACCCCACCCCCCTAGTCTGGGAAGAGAATTGAGAGAGGGAGGAAGGGCCCCCAGAAGGCAGTCTACGCTGGGCCCAGACACCCTGAGACCCAGGAGCGCCAGACGCATGCCAACGTGGGTCCACATGCCAGTTTCCTCTTTTTATTTAAACCAGCCCTTTCTGAGCACCTGCAGAGTACGAGGCACCCCGCCAGGGACTGTCCATTGTCAGCTCTCTGAAACCTCCCAGCACCCCCAGGAAGGCGTCATTGTCCCCATTTTAAAGAGGAGGAAGCCGAGGGTCAGAGAGGGGATGTCCCTGCCTGAGGCCCCACAGTCGGCAAGGGCAGTGCAGGGACTCGGCCCCAGGCTTCGTGCTCACCCTGAGCCTCCGTGTCCTTACACGTGAAGCGGGAATGACCCACATCCTAACAGACAGGGTTGTCCCAGGACTGGGGAGAAAGGCTTGTAGAGCGCCCGGCACGGTGCCTGGCAGCTAGGAGGTGCTGTCAAGGGCTGGAACTGTCAGTGACAACTTCAGTATGTAACTGAGGAAGCCAGAAGAGTTGGACATGGCGGGGGAAGGTGATTCCGGAGGGTGGCACCTCTGAGGCCAGCCCAGATAGACTGTGGTCCCCAAAGCCCACAAGCCCAGACCCTGGCGGCAAGTAATAGGATTTCCTGTCCCGGCTGCCGGGAAGGGGGTCATTTTGGATGCAGAGGCTGCCAGGTCAGGTCCGTGTTCCTGCTCTGGGAGGAGCAGGTCCCCTCTGAAGACTCCAGAGTCAAAGGAAATGATGCTGGATTCTCACCGGGCGTGGCCCACCCTGGCCGGGCCATGACTCCACAGGCCCTTCCCGTGCTGGACCTCTGCTTCCTCATGGGTCAGGATCCTCAAGGGTCTTCTCCTCCCTCCTACCCCCCAGGGGGCTGAGGGGCTCCGCGGGGGAACCAGGGGCCCCTGACCGTGGCCCCAGCCTCCTCCTTCCCCACAGGTTGTCTCAACTGCAGCAAAGTGTTGGAACTGACCGAGCGGCTGAAGGTGCTGGAGGCCAAGGTAGGTGAGCAGTGCCCCTGTTGCCTCCTGCCCCAGGGCCAGGCAGGACACAGCACCCCCTGGGCTCCCCACCTCCTTCTCCACACCCAGTCTGCTCAGGTCCCCACAGTGCACCTCTTAGCTGAGCTTCAATACCCCCCACCCACCGGGTCCCCATGCGGATGCCCCCTGTCAGGCAGGCACAAGCCTTCCACCTCTCCTCCAGTGCCCTTCCCCAGGGGAAGCCTACTCGCAGGCAGACACCTGGCCCTCTCCTCAAGGTGCACAGGCAGCTCCACCTCCACACCCTTGCTTCTCCCAGCGTGCCCTTCCGCAAGCCCCTCCTCCAGGAAGCCCCCTCTGATGCACCTTCATCCCCATCCCACCCACATGCACACAGATAACCCCCAGAACTGGATCCCCGCCTCCACCCATCACCTTTTTCCTTTACCCCCCCCCCCACAATATTACCTTCCCAATCTCAAAGTCAAAACATGTACTGCACATCTCAAACTATTTCAAAACAAAAAGTTTAGAAAAGTTAAAAAAGTAAGTCCTTCTAAGTTTAGAAATGTAAAAAACTCAAAAACGTGAATAACCTACCAGAAAATTATTCACAGCAACCACCTGTGCCCCTTGAGTGAGCAACTGTTAACGTTTTAGTATCTTTTCTTCCAGATTTCCTAAATGTACATGGAAAAAAAAACCCAAAAAACCTTGTTGCTGTCGAGTCGATTCCCATTCATAGCAATCCTACAGGACAGAATAGAACTGCCCCATAGGGTTTCCAAGGAACGGCTGGTGGATTCGAACTGCCTTTTGGTTAGCAGCCAAGCTCCTAACCACTGCACCAGCAGGCTCCAAATGTACATGGAAGCGTGTATATTTTGTCTGCGTAGCCCATGCACCACCATTCCCTTCTCTGAGAATTTATCTTAAGGAGTGTCTTAGTTACCCAGACCTACTGTAACAAAAATACCACAAGTGGATGGCTTTAAAGAACAGAAGTTTATTTTCTCACAATTCTGGAGGCCAAAAGTCCACACAGGGTTTTGGCCATGTAGATTCTTGCCTTGTAGGTAGTCCCGGACATTCCTTGGTTCCTTGGCTTGTAGACAGTCCTCACATGGTGCCTGTTTTCTCATGTGTGTGTCTCTGGGTCTGTGCTACTTTTTATATAAATTAGAAGTGATTAGGATTCACCCTACTCGTATTGATTGATGGACTGATTACATTGCATTAGATTGCATTATGGAATGTCATTACATTACATTACATCTTAAAGATAATAGGGATAAGGATTCCAACACATATTTTGGGGGGAAACAATTCAATCCATAACAAGGAGATTGTTAGATATGAAGAGATCTACCAAAGTATTAACTATAAGTGGGGGAGCGTGAAAACTAGACAACAGGAGGGATGGGTATCAGTTATGAAGCATCCAGTCTGTGGAATGCTAGGCAGCCATTCAAAATACCTCTGTTTTCTGTCCCTGATTTATCAAGTGGGAAAAGCAAGCTTCCAAACAGTATGTGCTAGAACCTGAGTCAGGTGGCACAGGAACACCACAGCTTCTCCCCGAGGTCCCTCCTAGGAGAAGCCCTGTGAGAGGCAGGTCAGTCCCAGACCCAAGGTGGTGGTTCTCAGTTCAGGGTCTCCCTGGCCAGTGAGTTTCAGCTTTTCTCTGGACGGCCTCCACAAAATCCCCCCTTCCTGGTCAGCAGTCATTCTGGCCCTGCTTGATCTTCAGTCAGCAGCTCAGAATGGGGAGGGGACATTGACAACTGGGCCCATAAAGTGAATTTTGTGTACACCACCACCACCAGTTGCCTAGAGCCAATTCTGACTCCTGGCGACCCCATAGAACTGCTGCATAGGGTTTTCAAGGCTGTGACCTTTTGGAAACATTGCCAAGCCTTTCTTCCAAGTCACCTCTGGGTGGGTTCAAATTGTCAACCTTTTGGTTAGTAGTTGAGCACTTAATTCTTCGTGCCACCCAGGGACTCCATGGGACCTTTATTTCGTGTCAGACTCTCCCAAACTTCCCTCCAAATGTAGAGAAGATCCTTCTGGCCATTACCCTGTGATGCTTTCACAGAAAAGAGAAGCTTTATATTATTTATTTAGATAAGCAGAGAAAACAGGAGACACCAAGATGTTCACAGAGCTCAACTCTGAGAAGCAGAGAGTTCCAGGACCTGTGTTTCTTTTGTTGGTGACGGTGGATGTGTAATGATTTTGCTACAGTGAATGTTATGGTGTGTGCAATTTTAAAAGCACAGTCACTTCTGATAAAGTGCTGGGCCCCTGAAAGCCCAGGTCTCCACCCTGAGGTAGGCTCTGCTGGCTACAAGAGGCCTCGCCCTCCCCTGCCGCACACACTGGGACCTCTTAGCCCTTCCGGTCTCCCACTCCAGCTGGTCTGTCGGTGGTGAGACACTGGCATCGACGCCAACCCTGTCTCCCCCTTCCTCCCCAGGTGGCTATGCTGATTGTCACAGAGCAGGCAGTGCCCCCAGCCCCAGCTGCCCCTAAAGACCCTGCCCCACTGTGGGGCTCCCCAGCTGCCCAGGGCAGCCCCGGGGATGGAAGCCTCCAAGGTGAGTGGGTCGGGGATGGAATATACACCCCATGTGAGAAGGAGCACTGGATTAGGAGTCAGGAGCGTGAGACTCCAGGCCCCACCCTGCCGCTGACTCCCAAGCTTGACCCTCATGTGGGGCCTCAGTCTTCCTAGCTCTCCAGTGGGCCTGAGGGGATGGTCTCCAGGGGCCCTTGAGCACCAACATCCTGGGAGGCCAAGCTGCCTCCAGAACCCTGCCACAGGGCAGAGGTGGGGGCAGGGACTCTGGGTGACTCCCTCACCCAGGCCCAGCTGGGACACTGACCCCTGCCTACCCCCTGTCCCAGGGCCACCTGGAGCCAGAGAGAGTGTGAGGGCCCCACTGCTCCCTCGAGACGGTAGGTGCGGGCTGAGGGGCTAGGGCCAGCGTGGGGACAAGAGCAAGGCCAGACTTGCCAACCTGATGTGCTTTCACCCCTAGACCAAGTGGGTATTCCTGGGCTGCCAGGGCCCACTGGCCCCAAAGGAGACACCAGCAGTCAGGGCCCGACGGGAATGAGAGGCCCACCAGGTGAGTACCGCAAGTGCTGTCCCCCAGATCTGCTGGCCAGCCCCAAGGTGGCCTCAGGCTGGGACCTTCCTTCCCAGACCCTGACGTAGCCCGAGGTGGTCTGGGCCCTGCTGCCTGCTTGTCTCTCTGCTCACCACTTCCTCCAGGGTGCCCCACTCACACTGGGGTCCCTAGAACTGTGTCTTGTGTTCACTCGGCCTGTGCTCCTGGGGCACCTGCTCCCATCAGGCTGTGAACCAGGCACGGGGTGGGTCAGACTGGTCCTTGCCCGGCTGGAGCTCCCAGGCCAGCTGAGGGAGGGGTTTTGGGAGGCAGCAAAGTGCCCACTTCATGTCACCAGGGCTTCGATGGAGGACATCAGGGGTATGGAAGCCCCGAGGAAGGAAGCCAAGCCCCAGCCTGGGTGGGTGGGGATCGGGGAGGGCTTCCCAGCAGAGTGACATCTTAGCTGAGGCCTGAAGGATGACCTGAACTTTGCACCAGGCAGAGCAAAGGAAGGACTGATAGAGGGAACAGCTTGTGCAAAACCTGGATGTGAGAGGAAAAGAACATTCTGGAAATTACTGTTTATTAAACGTCTTGTGTGCCAGTGGCTCCACGGAAAAAAGCCCTGGCAAATTGCTTCCATAAATAAAAAGCTATGGAGCTGAGTTCTACTCTGACACATGTAGGGTCATCGTGAGTTGGAACTGACTTGTCAGCGATGCATTTGGGGTTTTTTGTTTGTTTGTTTTGTTTTGTTTTTTGGTGTGCCAAGTGTCCATTCTCATAAACACCCTGGGGAGGGGTGTGTTCATCCCCCTAATAGGTGTGGAAACAGAGGCCCACCTGGCCAGTGAGGACAGAGCCCAGACCTGCCCAGGCCTGTGGACTCTAGAGCCCACTCTCACACCCACTGCCCCAGGCTGCCTTGTCCTGCCCTTGGCCCCTGGAGCCCACCCTGGGCCTGCCCCTGCCTCCTACACACCCATCAACCCCCGTGGTTCTGTTGCAGGTCCACAGGGCCCACCAGGGAGCCCTGGCCAAGATGGAGCTGTGGGCAGCCCTGGAGAGAGGGGACCTCCAGGCCCCCCAGGGCCTCCTGGCCCCCCTGGTCCCCCAGCCCCTGTTGGACCACCCCACACTTGGATCCCTGAGCATGGTGAGTCCTGCAGGGTCACACAGGTCAGTGTGAGGGGAGGGAAGTCTGGAAGAGGAGGCTGGAACCCACCACCACAGAACCCACTAGCTCTAAGCGGCACTCACTGTATGCCTGGCTTGCCCTTGATAGGCCATGCTTCAGCTAATCCTCCAACAGGTGCTGTTGTTCTCTGTGCACAGATGAGGGAAACTGAGGGCCAGAGAAGAGGGCAGTTGCCAGGGTCAGACCCAGCCAGCTTCAGAGCCTATGCTGAGAACCACCCAGCTCAGGCCATCCCGCCAAGCCTTGGAGCTGGCCGGCATCCAACCCTCAGAGCACCGGAAAGCTCAAGGCCTAACAACAGGAAGCCAGCCCTGAGCTCCCAAGACCATAGCCTGGCCCTGTGCTCTGTGAGGCCCAGCCCCCTCCAGCCAGTTGAGCCTCCTCCCCTCAGGTGTGCCCTGCCTGACCCACAGGCGCACCCCACCTGCCTGGGTTCAGGGCTTGGAGTGCTAGGTTCAACCCCATCTCCGTCGTGTCTTTGGTGCATGACCAGGCACATCATTGTCCCTCTCCAAGCCTCAGTTTCCTCATCTGTATAATGGAGGTGGTGATACTGCCGGTCTCCCAGAGCTCCATGGCACCCACACACATAAGCCTGGCACACAGTAGGTGTTTAATAAATGGTAGCCTTTACTATTGCAATTTCACATGTGCCAGTACAGGCTCAGTGAGGTGGAGTTTTGCCAGATGTCACCAGCTGGACTGGCGGGGTTAGAACCCAGGTTTCCGTGCCTACAGGCTCTGGATGTCCTGTTGACCAACAATCCCCCCCGAACCTCCTGCCCTTGGAGCAGGTGCCTGGTGACCCCAGCTGCACTGCAGGCCACCCACAGTGCAGTCACACCTGGCTTGACAGAGGCAGCAAGTGGAGACTCCTCCCAGCCCCACTCAGCCAGCCCTGATCACTCACCATCTCTCCTCCCCCAGGGGACCCATTACTATCCAACACCTTCACTGAGACCAGCAGCCACTGGCTCCAGGGACCCGCTGGGCCCCCGGGCCCCCCAGGGCCCATAGGTAAGTTGATTCCAAGCCTAAGATAAGGGATGGGGCTTGGAGATGGCAGAGGGACTAGGGCTGTGGCTACCAGAAAGGACCTGATGGTGGACTTCTTGGCATTGTACTCTGTCCCGGCCCTGAGGACACTTCTCTTATTCTAGGTCCTCCTGGGCCTCCTGGTCCCATGGGTTTCCCTGGGAGTCCTGGACAGATGGTGAGTAGTTCTCCAAGTGTTCCCACCCACCCATCCATCCATCCATCCATCCATCCATCCACCTATCCATTCATCTATCCACCCACCCACCCATACTCTCATTCATTCAATAATCATTTGTTATTTACTATGGAATTACTTTCCATAAATATTCTGATTCAATCCATATATCAAGGGCAAGTATTAGTATCACCTGAGGCCAAGAAAGTTGGAGGTTCTGGCCCTAGGGCTGCGTCCAGCATATGGCAGACGTCTAGATCAGGCTGGGAACTATCTGGCTTTAGGGCCAGACCTCTTAACACTGAGCTATATGATTTGCCCACTGTGTGCCAGGCACTGGCCATGTGAAGAGTTCAGAGGCCCAAGCCAAGGTGGGCCCCCTCCCTGACCCCTCTGCCCTCCAACCTCCTGCTCATTCTGCCCCACCACAGCACAAGGCTGAGGCCCTGTCTTGTTGCTCAGGGACCCCCAGGCCCCATTGGCCCTGAAGGAATCTCTGGCCGCCTAGGAGAGAAGGGCGAGCGAGTGAGTACCTAGGTGGCCCCAGGTGGGGGGGTTTGGGGGATCCTGGGACTCCAGATCAGACCCATCCCACAGCTGACTCTATTCTTCTCCTCCCTTCCATACAGGGACTGCGTGGGGAGCCTGGCCCCCGAGGCTTCGCTGGGCAGCGGGTGAGTGATGTCCCTCTCCCTGCAGTTTCCCCTCCAGGATCCCACAGACCCAAACCCCTGCTCTGGCTCCGTCTGCTGTGGCCAAAGCCCCTGACCCTCCCTGCCTGGTCCAGGGCATGCTCCATCTCCTCTCAGTCACTCCCTGTCTCTGGGACCTGTCAGCCTCTTCGGATCAGGCTGCGTTTGTCTCCCTCACTCTGGCCCTCTGGGTCTGTATCTGTTTCTCTTTTTCTCTCCTCCCCTCTGTGTCTCTTTGTCTCTCAGTCTGTGTGTCTCTCTCTCTCACTCTCCATCCCTCCAGCTATGATTGTAGATTTGTCCGTTTCTCCCTTTAGATAGGTCAATTTTTGCTGTATGTATTTTGAAGCTCTGTTATTAGATGCATACACATTTACGATTTTAATATCTTCTTCATTCTTTTGTCTTTATGAAACGAATCTCTTTATCTCTGGTAATAACTCCTTAAGTTTTACTTTATTTGATATTAAAATAGCCATACCAGCTTTCTTATGCTTAGTATTTGTATGATGTATCTTTTTCTATCCTTTTACTTGCAGCCTGTGTCTTTATATTTAAATTGCATCTCTTGTAAACAGCACATACTTGGATCTTGCTTTTTTTAAACAGTTTAGTTCATTTATATTTAATGTGGCTCTGTTCAAGTCAGCTATCTTGCTCTCTATGTTCTATTTATCCCATCTGCTGCTTCTTTCTTCTTTTCCTGCCTTCTTTTGGATTAATTGAGTACTTTTTATAATTCCATGTACTGGCACATGTGAAATTGCAATAGTAAAGGCTACCGTTTATTAAACACCTACTGTGTGCCAGGCTTATGTGTGTGGGTGCCATGGAGCTCTGGGAGACCGGCAGTATCACCACCTCCATTATACAGATGAGGAAACTGAGGCTTGGAGAGGGACAATGATGTGCCTGGTCATGCACCAAAGACACGACGGAGATGGGGTTGAACCTAGCACTCCAAGCCCTGAACCCAGGCAGGTGGGGTGCGCCTGTGGGTCAAAATGACATTTTGAAGGAGCCCTGGTGACAAAATGGTTAAGCACTCAGCTGCTAAGAGAAAGGTCAGCAGTTCAAACTGACCCAGCGGCACCACGGGAGAAAAGACCTGGTGATCTCCTTTTATAAATATTGTTCTTGTTGTTAGGTACTGTCAAGTCAGTTCCGACTCATAATGACCCTGTGTACAACAGAACAAAACACTGCCCAGTCCTGTGCCATCCTCAATCATTGTTATGCTTGAGCCCATTGTTGCAGCCACTGTGTCAATCCATCTCATTAAGGGTCTTCCTCTTTTTTGCTTACCCTCTACTTATACCAAGCATAATGCCCTTCTCCAGGGACTGACCCCTCCTGATAACATGTCCAAAGTACATGAGATGAAGTCTCACCTTCCTTGTCTCTAAGGAGCACTCTGGCTATCCTTCTGCTTAGACAGATCTGTTCGTTCTTTTGGCAGTCCATGGTATATTCAATATTCTTCACCAACACCATAATTCAAAGGTGTCAATTCTTCTTTGGTCTTCCTTATTCAGTGTCCAGCTTTCACATGCATATGAGATGAATGAAAACACCATGGCTTGGGTCAAGTGCACCTTAGTCTTCAAGGTGACATCTTTGCTTTTCAACACTTTAAAGAAGTCTTTTGCAGCAGATTTGCCCAATGCAATGCGTCTTTTGATTTCTTGACTGCTGCTTCCATGGGTGTTTATTGTGGATCCAAGTAAAATGAAAACTTGACAACTTCAATATTTTCTCCATTTATCATGATGTTGCTTATTGGTCCACTTGTGTAGATTTTCGTTTTATTTGTGTTGAGGTGTAATCCATACTGAAGGCTGTAGTCTTTGATTTTTGTCAGTAAGTGCTTCAAGTCCTTTTCACTTTCAGCAAGCAAAATTGTGTCACCTGCATAAAGTAGGTTGTTAATAGTCTTCCTCTAATCCTGATGCCATGTTTTTCTTCATATAGTCCAGCTTCTCAGATTATTTGCTCAGTGTACAGGTTGAATATGTATTATGAAAGGATACAACCCTGATACACACCCTTGCTGACTTTAAACCACCCAGTATCCCCTTGTTCTGTTCGAACGATTGCCTCTTGATCTATGTACAGGTTCCTCATGAGCACAATTAAGTGTTCTGGAATTCCCCTCCTTCAGAATGTTACCCATAATTTGTTGTGATCCACACAGTCGAATGCCTTTGCATAGTCAATAAAACACAGGTAAACATCTTTCTGGTATTCTCTGCTTTCAACCATGATCCATCTGACATCAGCAATGATATCTCTTTTTCCATGTCCTCTTCTGAATCCAGCTTGAATTTCTGGCAGTTCCCTGTTGATGTACTGCTGCAGCCACTTTTGAATGATCTTTAGCAAAATTTTACTTGTGTGTATTATTAATGATATTGTTCAGTAATTTCCACATTTTGTTGGATCACCTTTCTTTGAAATAGGCATAAATATGGGTCTCTTCCTTTCAGTTGGCCAGGTAACTGTCTTCCAAGTTTCTTGGCATAGATGAGTGAGCACTTCCAGCACTGCATACATTTGTTGAAATATCTTCATTGGTATTCCATCAATTCCTAGAGCCTTGTTGTTTGCCAATGCCTTCAGTGCAGCTTTGACCTCTTCCTTCAATACCATCAGTTCCTGATCATATGCTCCCTCCTGAAATGTTTGAATGTCGACCAGTTCTTTTTGGTACAGTGACTCTGTGTATTCCTTCCGTCTTCTTTTGGTGCTTCATGCATTGTTTAATATTTTCCCCATAGAATCCTTCACTGTTGCAACTCGAGGCTTGAATTTTCTTTTCAGTTCTTTCAGCTTGAGAAATTTTGAAAGTGCTCTTCCCTTTTGGTTTTCTAACTCCAGGTCTTTGCACATTTCAATATAATACTTTACTTTGTCTTCTCAGGCTGCCCTTTGAAATCTTTTGTTCAGCTCTTTACTTCATCATTTCTTACGTTTGCTTTAGCTACTCAACTTTCAAAAGCCAGTTTCAGAGTCTCTTCTGACATCCATTTTGGTCTTTTCTTTCTTTCCTGTCTTTTTAATGACCTTTTGCTTTCTTCATGTGTGATGTCCTTGAAGTCATCCCACAACTGATCTCGTCTTCGGTCATTAGTGTTCAGCGTGTCAAATCTATGCTTGAGATTGTCTCTGAATTCAGGTGGGATATACTCAAGGTCATACTTTGGCTCTAGTGGACTTGTTCTAATTTTCTGCAGCTTTAAACTTGAACTTGCATATTAGCAATTGATGGTCAGTACCACAGTTGGACCTTAGCCTTGTTCTGACTGATGATACTCAGCTTTTCCATTGTCTCTTTCCACAGATGTAGTCAATTTGATTCCTATGTATTCCATCCGGTGAGGTCCACATGTAATGTCACCGTTTATGTTGGTGGAAAAAGGTATTTGCAGTGAAGAAGTCATTGGTCTTGCAAAATTCTATCATGTGATCTCCAGCATCGTTTCTATCACCAAGGCTATATTTTCTAAATATCAATCCTTTTCTTTGTTTCCAACTTTCACATTCTAATCACCAGTAATTATCAATGCATCCTGATTGCATGTTCGATCAATTTCAGACTGCAGAAGTTGATAAAAATTTTCAATTTCTTCGTCTTTCACCCTTAATGGTTGGTGTGTAAATTTGAATAATAGTCGTATTAACTGGTCTTCCTTGTAGGTGTCTGGATATTACCCTATCACCAACAGTGTTGTACTTCAGACGATCTTGAAATGTTCTTTTTGACAATGAGTGCAACGCTACTCCTCTTCAAGTTGTCATTCCTGGCATAGTAGACCATATGATTGTCCGATTCAAAATGGCAAATACCAGTCCATTTCAGCTCACTAATGCCTAGGATGTCGATGTTTATGCGTTCCATTTCATTTTTGGTGATTTCCAATTTTCCTAGATTCATACTTTGTACATTCTCCGTTCCAATTATTAATGGATGTTTGCAGCTATTTCTTCTCATTTTGAGTTGTGCCACATCAGCAAATGAAGATCCAGAAAGCTTGACTCCATTCACGTCATTAAGGTCAACTCTACTTTGAGGAGGCAGCTCTTCCCCAGTCGTGTTTTGAGTACCTTCCAACCTAAGGGGCTCATCTTCTGGCACTATATCAGACAGTGTTCTGCTGCTATTCATAATGTTTTCACTGGCAAATTCTTTTCAGAAGTAGACCACCAGGTCCTTCTTCCTAGTCTGTCTTAGTCTGGAAGCTCAGCTGAAACCTCTCCACCATGGGTGGCTCTGCTGGTATTTGAATACCAGTGGCATAGCTTCCAGCATCACAGCAACATGCAAGCCTCCATAGTATGACAAACTGACAAATGGGTGGGGACCATAAAGATTACAGCCTAGGAAACCCTATGAGGCAGTTTTACTCTGTCATATAGGGTCACTATGAGTTGGACTTGACTCCATGGCACACAGTAACAACGATATTTTAGCTATACCTCTTTGTGGTATTTTTTTTATGGTTGCTCTAGGGATATGCTTCTCAACTTACAACAATTTACTTGAATTAATATTCTATATCACTTCTTGTATAAATGGGAACATTACAACTATATAATTCTGTTTTTACCCCTTCTGTCCTTGTGCTATTGCTATCATTGTATTTTACATCTACTTTTTTTAATAAACCCACAATACATTGTTGTTGTTATTTTTACTTGAAACAATCAGTTGACCTTTAAATAAGTTAAGAAAACAAAGAAAATCATTTTTATATCTACCAATGTGTCTACCATTTCTAATACTCTTCATACCTTCCTATAGATCCATATTTCCATCTGGTATTATTTCCCTTCAGCCAAAAGAATTTCTTTAGTGTTTCTTGTAATATGAGTCTGCTGATGACAAATCCTCTTAGCTTTTATTTGTCTAAAAATGTCTTTATTTTACCTTAATTTTTGAAAAGTGTTTTCATTGGATTTGGAATTACGGTTGGCAGTCTTCCCCCTTTAAAGATGTTGTTTCATGGTCTTCTGGCTGGTACAGTTTCTCAGGAGAAAATAACTGTCCTTACTGTTATTTTCCTGTGTGTGATGTCTTTTTTCTCTGGCTTTTAAGATTGTCTCTTTCTCCTTGGTTTTCAACAGATTATTATGATGTGCTTGGGTATGGTTTTCTTGGTATTTATCCTGCTTTGGGTTCGCTGAGATTCCTGGATCTGAATGTTTGCTAGTGTTTTTTTGTTTTGTTTTTATTGGTTGTTTTATTTTGTTTTAAAATCAAATTTGCGGGGGGAGGGAATCGGCCATTTTTCTTCAGGTATTTTTTTCTGTTCCTGCTCTCTCTTCTCTCCATCTGGGACTCCAGTTGCACTTGTTAGTCTCCCACAAGTCATTAAGGCTTTGTTAATTTTTTAAAATATTCTTTCTATCTGTGCTTCAGTTTGAATTATTTCATTGATCTGTCTTCAAGTTAATTGATTCTTTTGTTGTGTTCAATCCAATCTTCTGTTAATGCCCTCTAATGAATTTTTTATTTCCAGTATTATAATTTTCATTTCCAGGATTTCCATTTGATTCTTTCTTGTAATATCCACATCTCTCCTGAAATTCCCCATCTTGTCACCCATTATATCAATTCCAGTAGATTCTTTAGTATAGTTATCATAGACATTTTAAACTCCTTGTCTGCTAATTCTAGCGTCTCGGTTGGCTGTGGATCTGTTTCTATTGACTGATTTTTCTATTTACTATGGGTCACATTTTCCTGTTTCTTCACATGTCTACTAATTTTTTATTGTATACTGGACAATGTAGATAATATATTGAAGAGACTCAGGATTCTATTATCTTTCTTCCTCTGAAGAATGTTGAGTTTTGTTTTAGCACAGTTAAATCACCTTGCTTTTTTGGAGGCTTAGTTTTAGGCTTCATCAGGGAAGTCCATTTTGATTTTGCTGTTAGTCCTAGGGCAAATCCCTTTGTTCTGGGATCTAGTCTTTATTCCTAAGGAATGGACTTTATGGAGTTTTACTGGAAAACTTTGGGTATTAACAGCCCCTGTTAACTTGGTTAGATTTAAACTTCAAATTCTATCTCCCCAGTGGTGGGCAACTGCTAAAATCTATGTCTAGTTCTGTTAACTTTCCGATTGTCCCCCCACCCCCACCCCAGGCTCCTTGGAGTCTTGCTCAGTTCAGAGACCATCCAAGGATTGTGCAGATTTTGCCCCTCCTTGTGGCTCCCTGCTTTCCAGTATTTTCCCCTTAACTTTCTGCTTCCCTGGTAGCCTAGACTCTGACCTCTGACTCCTCAGACCAATAACACTTAAACTTTCTGCTTTAGTTCTCTTTGCCAAGCCGAGGGGACTGGGTGTGCCCTCCAGGGAAAAGCCATAAAAACGTGGATTTTATCTAAAGCGGTTCCTTCTTTCAAGGGTCAAATATCCTCCAGTTTCTGGCAGTTCTTTATCACTTTCCATTACCTTCAAACAGTCTGTTGTTGTTGTTTTGCACTTTATCCAGTGTTAGTCCAGTGTAAGCTACTCTCTGTCTCTCTCTCTTTCTCCTGTATGTCTCTGTCTCTGTCTCTCTGTCTCCTCCTTCCTCCTTCCCTCCCTTACTGTTTCTATCTCTATCTCTCCTTGCAGGGAGAACCTGGCCCCAAAGGAGACCCTGGTGAGAAGAGCCACTGGGTAAGCTCCAGCCCAGCACTGGCCTCCCCATCCCCCCTCCCACCCTGAGTGCTCAGGATACTATTCTCTCACTGATGGGTCCTGGGAGTGGAGGTGTCCCATCCACATCCCTATTGCCACCTGGTCTCCCAGGAAGGAGCCTTGGCAGATCTCAGCCCCAGCTGCCTCCCCTATTCTACCCCTCCCAACTGGGCAGGGCCAGTCCTATCAGCAGACCCCATGCTCTCTGTCTCTGTCTTTGTCCCTGTCTCTGCCTTCCCTCTGCAGCTTTTCCAGGCCAGGGTGACTCTGCCTGTTCCTCCTGGGATGTTTGGGCTGACCCCAGCCAGACTGCACCCCCTGCCTCCAAAGCCCTCTCTCAGCAAGGGCTTTGGCCTCTGCTCCCATCTGCAGAAGAAGGGAAGCATGGAAACAATATCCACGCAGAAAAATGGAACAGGGCACCTTAGGAGCCCCCATGGTAAAAGAGACAGGGGAGCTAGACACCACGATACACAGGAAATCCATGAAGTTTAGGAAGGGAGGCCTAAAAATCATCTTGTACACATTTGTACATGGTAAATGAGGTCAGGGCACTTAGCCTCCACTAAACCCAAAAGACTTTTAATTAAATGAGGTCCTAGACACCATCACATACATAGGAGACCCATCTGGAATGGGAAGGGAGACCTAAAAGCCACCACATGCGCAGGAGAACCATGGAAAATGGGATCTAGATACCACTATACTCAAAGGAAGCCCATGAAGAATGGGAAGGGAGCCCTAGAAACTGTCAAATACACAGGACACTTAGAGTAAATGAGAAGGGAGACCAAGAAACCACACGCCCAGAAGTCCCATGATTAACATGAGGTCCTAGAAACCATCACAGTCATTGGAGACAGTTGCAGTAAATGAACCTTGAGGCCTAGAAACATTTACCCACCTAAGAGACACATAGAGGGAGGGACCAGGAACCTAGAACCCAGAATACCCAAAAGCCACATGATGCAGGGACCTGGAAACCATCACTGATTTAGGAGACATTTAGAAAATGGCTGGGGGGTGAGGGGCAGACACCCCTAGAGAGACAGCTCTCAGGAGCTCTGTTGGAGGGTGGTATCTTGCCTGACCCCACCCCTGCAGTCTGGCTGGGACACCCCACTTCCTGGCAGGTACTAGTTAGTGAGGACATGGGAGGCCCCTATAGCCTGCCCTGCCCTCTCTGCTCGATTGTGGGGTCAGTGATGGATACAGCCGTGGGAGCCCCCTACCCTGCACGAGTTCTCCGCCATGTCTCCCTATGACTCCTGGGACCCTGCTACCTCTCTGGCAAGCCTCTCCCACCCCCTTGCTGCCCCCCACCCCTTGCCCTCCTCTTTACCCCATGCCTCCAAAGCTTCTTGAGATAAGAAAACTGCCATATGGTCCTGAGCTGGACAAGAGTCAGTTAGACCCATGTGAGCCCAGCCCTCTGCCTTCCCTAGGCCCTGCCACTGGCCTCTCCCAGAGACCCTTGGTGTGGGAACATGCTTTCCACCCAGCTTAAGAGAGTGGGGAAGGCCAACTTGAGGCAGAATTAGGCTGGGCAGCCCCATCCCTGCATGGAGACCCCCATCTGGGGAGCAGGATGCCTGGGCTTCTTAACCCATCAGGGCCAGACCAGGCCTTGCATCCAGGACCACCTGCGGGGGGTGGGAGCCAAGAGGTAGCAGGGCCCCTTCCCATCCACCTGCCTCCCCCTTGCCCACCTGCACTTCTGCTCCTGCTTGCTGCCTGCCTGGGAGGGGGCCTGCTGGGCTGGCGGATGCATGAGACTTCTGGGGTCTGGGGGGACCAACTCTTGGCACATGGGGATGGGGGTCCAGAGTGGAAAAGGACCCCTTGGCTCCTATACACACATGTTCCACCTACCAACACCCTCTTAGCGCAGCTTTTAGAGCTGCTGGCCCAGAGGCAGCTTGCCGTGACACCTGGTGGTCATGGAGCACACTGCAGGTCCTGCCAGGGAGTGACTGGGCTGAGCTAGCCCATCTAGACCAAAGTCTGCACCCCTTACTCAGACAGAAAAACTGAGGCCCAACTCTGCACAGCAAATTGTTGTCAGAACTGGGACTAGAGTCCAGGCTTTTCAGCTCCCTAGTCCAGGAAATCCGCTAACATTCCCAAGCACCTCCTTGGTGGGTGCCAGGCCTTGAGGTGTACGCTCAGGACACGGATGCTACTTGGACACAATCCCCACCCTCAGGGTGGTCACAGTGGGGTGGGGCAAAACAGGCCTATAGTCAGCAACCGCAGGACAGGGGAAGCTCAACTGTGACAGGGGACACTCTGGCAGCTTTGAGGACCCAGGGGAAGGCTCTTGTCCAGCCTGGGCATCAGGGAAGACCTCCCTGAGGAGGAAGAGACCAGGGCTGAGGCCTGAAAGGTGCATTAACCTGGCAAAGGGTGTTCAGACAAAGGAGAGAGAATAGCATGTGCAAAGGCCCTGAGGCAAGAGTGAGCCTAGAGTATTCAAGGAACTGCAAATACTTGCAGTGGCTGAGTGTGACAGGCAAGGGGTAAAACAGAGGCTGAAGAGGCTAACAGGAACTAGACCTTTCAGGACCTAGGAGGCCATGTGAAGGAATTTTGAACTTTGTTCTATGGGCAATAGGGAGCCATTGCAGTATTAAGCAGGGGAGTGACATGGTCAGATTTTTGTTTGCAAAAGATTCCTCTGATTGCTGTGTGGAGAATGGATGGGAGGAGGGGGCAGCGTGGGAGAAGCAGAAAGAGAGAGACTAAGCAGGAGGCTGTCATGGGCATCCTGGCAAGAGATTGTGGGGGCCGGGACTGGGGGGTAGTGAGGATGGATAGATGTTGATGGAGCTAAGTGACACTTAGGTGCTAGTTTGGACATGAGGGAGCCTGAGGAGTTGGGGGAGACTTTTACAGTAGTGAGAGAGAGCAAGTGAGCAGTGGTGATTCGATGGTAGAATTTCCCCTCTTCCATGTGGGAGACCCATGTTCAATTCCTGGCCAGTGAACCTCATGCACAGCCACTACCCATCTGGCAGTGGAGGCTTGCGTGTTGCTGTGATGCTGAACAGGTTTCAGTGTAGCTTCCGGACTAAGATAGACTAGGAAGAAAGGCCTGGTAATCCACTTCCAAAAATCAGCCAACGCAAACCCTATAGATCCACAACAAATCACTGGGATAGCGCAGGACTGGGCACCGTTTTGTTTTGTTGTGCACGGGGTTGTCATGTGTCGGGGGCCGACTTGATGGCAGCTAACAACAGCAACAAGAGAAAGCCAGGAGAAACAGGCACACTGAGTTTCGTCGGTGTTAAGTGGGAGCTGTCTGTAGCACAGCCGAGTGGGGATGTCCAGATCTGGAGCGTGGAGGGCAGGCCAGGCTGGGAGGGGATCCAGGTGTCAACAGTGTAACCAGCAGGCCACCCATCTGGGAGAGGCTCCAAACAGCGAAATTTTTTTTTACATTTTTCTCCAGATTATTATTTTGAAATTTTTCAAATGTACAGAAAAGTTGGTGCGTGAATATACTTCTACCCTTCCTTTAGATTCGCCAGTTGTTCATATTTTTCCCGTTTGCTCTTTCTCTTTGTATATTATAGACCCTGTTTTCTAATCCATTTGAAAGTAAGCTGCAGATTTTACCCATGTCTCCTCTGACTCCTCAGTGTACAGAATATGGACATTCCCCCACATAACCACCCTACACTGTCGCACCTAAGAGAGCCAGCATTAATTCAATAAAATAATGCCCTTTAATATCTATTTATATAATATGTAATATTTAATGTATATTTAATATATAGTAAGTACATTCAATATGTTATATATGTAAATTTCACCAGTTTTCCCCAAAATACCTTTTATAGTTTGTTTTTTTAAATAATATTTTATTGCATCTTTGGTGAAGGTTTACACAGCAGTTTAGGTTCCCAATCAACAGTTTCTGCACGAGTATAGCTGTTTTTTTTTTTAAATACCTTAGAATTTATTTAAAATACAACAGTTAAACACAAAAACGAGATGTAATCTAGAAATGGTGTAAGTGTGGCCTTTCATTTATTTGATGCTTTTTTAGTTACTGTTTCCATTACAAAGTTCCTAAAGATCTTATAGCTGGTTTTTGTTTTTTTTTTTGAAGCCAAGATCTAATCAAAAGTTCAGGCATTGAGCTTAGTTGTCGCAACTCCAGTGTCTTTTCATCGAGACCAGGCCCCCTGTCCTTTTCCTCTTTCTCTGACATTGTCTTCTTGGGAATGCCCACAGTCTGGATTGTCCAGTCATTTCCTCTTGATGAGCAGCAGGGTAAATACTCTTGGCAGGAGCCCTAATGGGCGACGTGGTGCCATCTCATGGCATCTCATCAGGAGGCTCTTGTCAGCTTGTCCCACCATCCATGCCAGCAGTGGCTTAACGTAATTTTTGAAGGTCATCCAGTTTTAAATCCTGGTGTGCAGCCCATAGTGACCTGGTGACACTCCTCCCAGGCTGCAGTGGCCAATCGGTGGCCTGAGGGTAGCCCAGTCCATGTGATGTGCACAGGACAGCTGGACTAGAACAGTCTCTGCAAGGTCCCGGAGGGCTTACTCATACGGGCATGTTGGGAGGCCTCTCAGGTGTTTAGATGTTTTTTGGGGGGAATAGCTGCTTTAAAGGGTTGGATTGTAATTGTACAGATGTGCTTATTAATCACCCCTTTGCTTAATCTATAGTCATCAAAAGACACTAAGAGAAGACTTAAGCTGCTGCTGTTGGGTCTGGAACAGGTCTATTTGCCATCCTGGAGCTCGGTTGGAATTAAGAGATCGACAGTCCAGAAATATCTTTAGTTGGGGCTAGGAAGGAGTGAGGGAGTGTTGGCAAGACCGTGGACCCTATGCTGGGGAAGGAGAGGCCAGGCAGATTGGGATGAATTGCAGGGAGCGTGGCCGGCGAGGTGTCTGGCATGGGCCCTGGGCAACAGCTGGCACCGCGTGGTAAGCGGAGAGCCCCCAAGTGCGGAGGCCTGGGGGGAGGGGCTTTGTGAACCTGCTGCCACATCCATTGCGTGGCGGGAGGGCTGGGCTGAAGGCAGAACGTAGTCAGAGCCCTCAGAGGGAGCCAAAGTGAGAGGGGTTAGGGCAGGGGTACCCAGGCCTGAGCCTCAGGCTTTCCAGCATTTTAAGCACAAGTTCCCCAATGGCGGTGCCACATAAACATTTCTCTTATGACTCATTATCTATTCATTTTTACATGAATGGAAATGATATTGGGAACTGCTGAGGATAAGGCTAATCTAGTAGTTAGGTCCTTGGGTGGTGCAAATAGTTCGTGCTAGTCCACTAACCTAAAAGTTTGGCAGTTTGAACTCACCCAGCAGCACCAGGGAAGAAAGGCCTGGCAGTCTGCTTTCATAAGGATTACAGCCAAGAAAGCCCCCTGTAGCAGTTCTACTCTGCAACACGTGGGGTTGCCATGAGTTGGAATTGACTCGACAGCAGCGGGTTTGGTTTCTTTTAGTAATGTAGTGATTAAGGCAAAAAGTGAGTCAGGTTAAAGAACAGTAGGTAAACAAGAGTACAGGTGGCCTGGGGATGGGGCAGGAATTGTGCAGGTGATGTGGGAACGAATGGCCTCAGGTAACAAATTAAGGACAGGTGGGCTCCATGGCGGCCTCCATGGTAGACTCTAGTGCAGGCTCTCGGACAGCAGTGCTGCCCTGCAGACAGGCAGACCCCTGCCCCAGGGCAGCAGGATTTGCGGTGGTGTGGGGAGAGAGCAGCTAGCTGGGATCCAACATGACTTGCTGAGGGGTCTTATGGGGGCTGCTTCTGCCTGCTTTGTCCCCTCCTGTCCTCTCCTGGTCTTGTCCCGGCTGTCCGTGGGCCCCGGGCTGTGGCAGGTGGTGTGGGGTTGCAGGTGCATGTCCAGGGTGGGGCATGGGCCACCAACAGGCTTTGCAGGGTCCCCTTCCGCTGCCCCCTTCACGGCTGCATCTGTCTCTTTCCTCCGCAGGGGGAGGGGTTGCACCAACTACGCGAGGCTTTGAAGATTTTAGCTGAGAGGGTTTTAATCTTGGAAACAATGATTGGGCTCTATGGTGAGTAGAGACAGACAGACGGACAGACAGCCCAGCCCCTGCCTGCCAGCCTTTCCCCAAGCCCTCCTGGGGTGGACTGGCCTGGGCTCAGTCGTGAGGCTGGAGGAGGTGCCTGCCCCAGGCAAGTGTCGGGAGGACTCAGAAGTCCTGAAAGCCAAGACCACCCCTCCCTCAATGACTGGTCCCCTCCTCCACAGCTGAAGGGGGCCCTAGAAACCCAGGCCCCCACCCCTGTGGTCAGACCTGGGCCTCCAGGCATTGTGGATAATGGTCCACTTTGTGGGTAATGTCGTCTCCAGGACTGCAGGGGAACCAGAGGTTTGGGAGAATTTATGGCCAGTGGAGCAAAACTCCAGGCCAGCAGGTGATTGTGGGTAACAGAGCCAGACACCAGCAGTGCTGGGGCTTGTGGGTAATAATAAAGTCAGAGCCCAGACCTACAGGAGGGTTATGGGTAATGGATCCAGATTGCAGATAGGCGTCAGGACTAGAGAAATTGTGGATTACAAAGCCAGTCTCAAGTTCTGCAGGACAATGAGTCATGGAGCCAGACTCCAGAAGTGCAAGGGACTGTGGGTAATAGAGCCAGGCTCAGGCCCCAGACGACTGTGGGTAATAGACTACTCACCAGTGTCTGAATCCCTCCCCCCAAACAGGCTCTCCTAGCACCAGGTTTCCCCTTTGGTCCTCCTAACCCACTCTGGGGCTCCCTCTGGGGGCCGAGAGAGCCAGACCCTCACCCCGGGCATTCACCTAGCAGTCCTCCACCCATCTGGTCAGTTGAGGCGCCGGGCAAGCCCTGTCTCCACTTTAGGAAGGGAGACCGAGGTCTCAATAGAGATCTTTCTCTGATTGGAAGCCGGGACTCTTGCCATGAAGCCAGCTGGCACCCACCCCACCTTGTCCTTGCCTCGCCTCCCCCCAGCCCTCAGAGGCCGGACTCGCACGGTCTGCTCTTCTTGATCTCCCATCAGGCTCCTAGCTTACAGAGCTTACTGCAGCAGCAGGCTCAGCTGGAGCTCCTGGCCAGACGGGTCACCCTGCTGGAAGCCATCATCTGGCCAGGTAACGGCAGGGCGGGCAGGCAGGGGCAGCCCCTTCCAGGAAGGGCCTGGGAACGTGGAAGATGCCTCCCAGTGTTTGGCCCAGGCCAGCGGAAACTCATCCTTTAGTCCTTCCTTCCATCCAGCAGACGGTGCCTAGCACAGAGAAGGCGCCAGTAACAGTTCTTGAGCACGTGTTTTGTGCCAAGCACCTTGTTGGGTGGGCCCCAGCAGATAACACAAACATAGCTCTGCCCTCATGGAGCTTAGGGTATAGACGGGGAGAGAGCCCTGCAGTTAAAACCTAGAGCAAGAAATACTACGGTGGGAAAAGTACAGGCAACTGTGGCAGCATAAACATGCCCCTGACCTAGGCTGGGCAGGTGGGATGGTCGAGGGAGGGCAGCTCAGGGAAGGCTTCCTGGAGGAGGTGACATCTGAGTGGTGGCCTGAAAGGTGAGGAGGTGTTAGTCACAATTAGCCAGGGCAAGGAGTAGGGGAGAATGAAGAGGCATGGGTAAGGCCATGAGGCCAGAGAGAACCTAGAGGGATTTTTCCCTGAGGTTGCTGACAGCCTGAGGTTACAGAATCTGGCAGGGCCCAGGTTGAGAAGATCCTGGAAGGAAGGTTAGGGAGGCATGGAAGGAGGTCGGACCCTCGGCAGGCAGGACTCCTCCCTGTGCCTGGCTCCTGGGTGGTTGGGAGATGTAGGTCACAGTGAGGCTCAGGAGGCATCTCCCCCTTAAACTGGAGTCTGTGGTGGGCCCTGGAAAGAGGCCCTCCCTCCCCACGAGGACCACCCTCAGGGCTGGGCTCTGTTCCTCACCTCCTGGCTAAGAGGCCCCAGCAGAGTCCCCCCTTCTCCCACCTCCTCCATCTCACAGCCCATCCCAGCGTGTCAGTGCACAGAGGCCTTGGATCTCATGTCCAGCCTGGAGCCTGTTTTACAGATGGGAAAACCAAGGCTCAAAGCAGGAAGGAAAGCTGGGGCTGGAGCCAGGCCTCCTTCATTCAGCAAACTATAGGGAACACCTACTGAGTGCCAGGTCCAGGTGGGCCTGGGGTCCAGGACAGCAGCTGGTCCCTGCCTTGGGGAGCTGCCTGCCCTGGGAACCCTCATATTTACAGCGATGAGGGCCCTGGGGTACAGGAGCACCAAGGGGTGGGGTGAGGGAGCAGTCCCTTCTTGCTGGGGTTGGAGAAGCCTTCTTAGAAGAGGGGACACTCTGAGTCATGGGAGATCCTAGAAGTGCACCAGGTGGAGAAGGTGGGAGGGACCCCCGACAGAGGCCAGCATAGGCAAAGGCCTGAAGGCTGCACAATGTGTGGTCAGCTGCCAAGCTCTTCCCACCACACCGTGCCGTGTCTCTCAGTTCCAAAAACATCAACACCATCTCCCCAACACCCCCTCTGAGACAGGAGGGACCAAGAACTAAATCCCAGGCTCTTGGCACCTTTGGAGGTACCCCTGCCTCTTCTCTCAGGAGGATTGGGGCAGAAGCTAGCAGGGACACAGTCAGGCCCCTGTGGCCCTGGATCTGCACCCCCACCACCACCAAGGGAGGAAGCACTGGGCACCCAGGGAGGTCCCATCCACTCTCAGTGGCCACAGCGAGTCCAGCAGACTAGTCCCATGAGCCAGCTAGGGATGTGGGCTTGGAGGGGGAAACCTGGGAGGGGAGAGCAAAGAAGGGGATGGAACCCTTCCTCCCTGTTGGCCTAGGGTACACAGCAGGTGCTAAATAAAGACGTAGATGGGGCTCATATTTAGGTTATACTTGATGATGATAATGGTAACAGCTGCCACAGGGAAGTTACATTGATTATCTCCAATCCTTACAAGCTTGTTGGGTGGGCAATACGATGCCCATTTTATAGATGAAGAAACTGAGGCTCAGAGGGCTCACGGGACTCTCTAAGGGTCACAGACATAGTAGCAGTAAGGCTACGGTTCCACCCTTTGTTGAAGCGCTGGCTCTTTTGGCTCCATTAGCAAAGATTTGCTGGATGCCTCCGCTAGGCCGGGTGCTGATCGAGGCCCTGGAGAAACTGAGGACGCAGAATTTTATTGTGTCAGAACAGTATCTTGTGACCAACTCACACTGAGCAGAACTGCAGAAGACCTGGATCAAAGCCACAGCAACCTCCTAAACATAATAATCCAGGCTTTATTGTGACAACCACTTTCCACTTCTGGTCACATTAAACCTGCATCACAAGGGTGTGACAAGGGGAAGATCACCCCATATTCCAGGTAAGGCTCAGAGATTCTGTGATTTGCCCAAGACCTCATAATTGGGACATGGACTTGGCCCCAACCAACTTTGGAGCTTGTGTGCTTTGCCACCCTCCTCCCATGCCCCCGATTTTGGCCTGACTGATTTAGGGCCCCCTGATTTAGGGCCTTAACAGGGACCACATGCTCCCTTCTGCCCCAGGGGCCTCAAGTCCCAGCCCGGAGGTGTGTGGCAGAGCTTCAAACTGGTTCATTCTGGTTCGAACCCCTAATGAAAATTTGCATTTCTAACAAATCCCCTGCTGAGAATTTGCATTTCCACCCCCCAGATATACTGAATCCGAATCTACAGTTTAACAAGATCCTCAGGTGATTCTTATGATTAACTTCCTGGGCACTTGTTAGAAATGTGAGTTCTCAGCTGGGGTTTGAACCAGAATGGGTTCAAAGCCCTGGGTATGAAGGCTGGGGCACACAGGGTTAGGGATAGTTACAAGGGTACAGCCCACTCCCCTGGCAGTGCCCTCAGTGGGAAGTTGGGGCTCACCAGAGTCTGAGTGTCCTGTGAACAGAGTTTGGGAGGCTCAGCTATGTCCTCCCTCTTGGGGTTCTCCTCCCTGAGCATCCCTCTCCCCCTGGAAAAACAGCTCATTCTTCTGATCTGTCTGAATTGTTCATTTAACTTCGGGAGAGACTTAGGTGGTAGTCATAGAAGGCTTCCTGGTGGAGGTAGCTCCTACTCTGGGTTTTGAAGAGTGAGTAGGAGTTTTCTAGGTGGCAAGAATGTCCATTTACTGCAGTTTCACTCTCGGGAGCCAGCTTATATCCAGGCTGGGGTGTATCTTACTATAGGTCCATTGGAACTGACTTTAGTAATTGTTGGAACTGGCTAGAACCTCAGAGTCTCTTTGAAACTGTCCCCTGGTTTTAGAGGTAAGACAGCTGAGGCCCTGATGGGGTCTAACTTGCCCAAGGCCACACAGTAGCTCAGTGGCACAGCCTGGCCTTCCTAATCCCTTCCTCCCCACAGGCAGCTTAGCCCAAAAGAGAGGAAGAGGGAGGCCTCAGTTTACCCAGCTATGAGATGGGGATGATTCAAGGTACACCTTCACCCCAAAATGAAGGCTAGGAAAAAAAAATTATACTTTTTATGGAGCACTATGTGCTAAACATTTCATAAATGTGATGGGTTCTTTCAAGCAGATGCCGTGAGTGCTCTCATTGGGTTGGGGGCTGATAACCCCAGGGGTGGGGGACACTAACCAGCCTACAGACCTCCTTCTTTCCCACAGCTTTGCGACCTCAACACCAGGGTGGAGTGCACTTGGCAGAGGGTGCCCAGTCCCGCCATCCCCCAGAGGGCCGAGGGGAGGTGGGTTCCCCACGTGGACCTCACTAACGTGGCCTCTCTCTTTCCCTCCAGCAGAACCAGAGTTGGGGTCTGGGGCAGGCCCTGCCGGCACAGGCACCCCCAGCCTTCTGCGGGGCAAGAGGGGAGGACATGCGGCTAACTACCGGATCGTGGCCCCCAGGAGCCGGAATGAGAGAGGCTGAGGGCAGTGGCAGCCCCTCAGGGTGGGCCAGGCCGGCCCCCTCCAGGAACCACCTGTCTGTATTTATTGATGTCCTTGGGATCCCTTCTGCCATCTAGGACTTTGGGGCAGGCAGGTCTCTGCCCTGGCACCCCATGTGGTTGGCCACATGTGAGACTGAGCAGGGGCTGAGGCCTGAGAGGGAAGCGGTGGCCCAGGTGTGAGGTGAGGCCTCCTTCAAGGCCCTGGGCCTCAGCTACCCCCTGTAAAATGCAGTGATGCTGGCCTGTAGGAGGGGGTGCCGGGGAAAGGGCTTATTGTCCTCTCACCAGCTGCCCAGGCGTCCAGGCCTGCAGGCCCTGAAGGAGTCAGAGCTCAGGCTCTGCCCAGCCCTTAGCATACAAAGGAACGATGGGGGAGGAGCGCCGTCTCACCCCGCTCATCCCCAGCCAAGCCTCAGGAGCCCAGCTGTGCCCCTCCTATTCTTGTTTTCTGGTGCTAGGTTCCCGGCCCTAAGGTCAGGCTGTCCCTGACCTGACTGGAGGGTCAGGGCCTCCTTGCCTCAGTTCTGCCCCCTCAGCCTCCAGCCCTTCTCAAGTGTCCCAGGTGGGGGTTGGGGCATGGAGAGGAATGAGCCACCTGCTCTCACAAACGCTTGTGACAGGAGGTAGATGTGTCCTGGCCAATAAAGGCCCCCAGCCTGATGCCCTCCCCCAGCCTGGTCTTGGTGTGTGCGTAGATGGAGGGCAGGAGGGCAGGGTCAGGAGCCACTGCCAGCATCCCAGTGGCCTTCACTCCCCACCTGAGGGGGGCCAGGGACATGGGGGTAGGTGAGCAGAGAGAGGCTCAGGTCACCCCCCCAGCCCAGGCCACGTGTCCAGCAGTGGCTATGGCTTCGGAACAACTTACTGAGAGGCCCGTTCTTCAAATAAAGCAAGCCATGGAGCAAGGAGCTGCCCTGGCCAGACACAGGAGCTGCCACAGACCTCCGGGCAGCTTCTAGACAGGGTGCCACACGACTTCTCTCTGAGCCTCAGTTTCCTCATCTGTGAAATGGGACTGATGGTGCCATCCTCCCGTTTGAAGAAGCAAGAGGTTTCCTAGCCTATTTCTAGCCCTCCACAGGGGACCGATAGCAGGGGTGCTCTCTGCTCTCTCTAGCCCTCCTCTCGGGCCCTGGCCTGGGGTATGGCCCCCACAGGTGGCCAAAGCATAGGCCTGCTCCAGGACAGGCAGCAATCTGCACAGCAGCCCCCTCGAAGCCTGCTTCCCAGGCCCCCCTCCAAGTCACCCCCCCCGCCACCATCAGCCTACCAGCAAACTCAGGCCCTCTGCTCTGTCTACAACCACCCCCCACCCTCAACACCTGTGAGGGGCAAGGACTGGGGCTGGCCAGGACGGAGGTTCTTCAAGGCTGGGGAAGCCCCCCACCACCACCACACCACACCCCCTTGCTTCCTGCCCGTGTGTCCACCAGCCACTGACCCCACTCTGGGCCAGGCCCCAGCTAAATTAGCTGTAGGCAGTCAAGGGAAGACATTCCTGTGGAATCCAGGAAGGCTTCCTGGAGGTAGAAATTAGCTGGGAAATGAGCAATGAAGGGGTGCAAAGAGGAATGCCCTTTGGCAGAGGGTCCAGCCCAGCAAAGGCCAGCAGTGAGAAGGAGAAAGCACTGCACGGGGCAGAGGCAGGAGCTGTTTGGGCAGTTCTTTGTGTCAGGAGCCAGGAAGCTGCTCTCCAGCAGTCACTCATCCACTGCTCATTATTCATTCATTCCCAATGTCAACACAGAGTCAGATACATCACTGTCCCCAAAGAGGTCCAAGTTGAAAAACAAACTGGTTTTTATTCTAAACAGGTGCCAAGGCAGAGTGGCCGTCAGTCCACAGAGCAGGGGCTTGGGTTCATTACACAGGGCCAGGCCTCTTGTCACCCAGTGGCCCACCTGAGCCCTGCCTTCTGCCTGGGCTAGGGGGGCCAGGGCCCTCGGGGTGGGCAGGCCGGCCCTTCCCCTCTGTGACCAGGGCCTCAGCCCCTACCTGCCCACCGACCAGCAGTGACACAGCACCTTCGACATGGCCCGTGGCTGCCAGCGCCACTACTGCCTGCTCTGTGGGGAAACCCATGCGTTCCAGCTGCTGCAGCCTGGGGGGCAAGGTGGGCAGAGAGGGAGTGTCAGCACCTTCCCCCTACACACACCAGGGGGTCCCACCCCTTGCCCACCCTCCTTACCGCAGAGAGGAGACGGAGGATTTGGGCAGCCACAGTGGGCTCTCAGGCCCCTGGGCTGGCCCCTCTAGGAGCGAGGCTTGGAGCCCCTCCTGCAGCATCTGCTCATCCAGGGCCGCCCACAGTGGGGTCCCCAAGGGGAAGCTGGGCCCAGCCCAGGCCAGGCCTGCCTCTGAGGAGCCCTCCCAGGTGGGCTGCACAGCCCCCAGGCCTGGCGGGAGCGGGGCTGAGGCTTCACTGTGGGGCCAGAGGCTAAGGGAGTCCACGTGAGGAGGTCCAGGTGCAGGAGGCCTGGAGGGGCAGAAGCAGAAGAGGAACCTGACTGCCAGCCACAGTCACAGCTTCCACCGTCACTGCTGGCATCCTCAGTGTCACCCTCCTGCCAGGCAGCCTCACCTCGCTCCGGGAGGATGGGTGACAGGCAGCTCAGTCAGGCTGCCTGGGGCAGGAAGGAGCCTCAGCGGCCAGCACCCCGCCAGGGTTCTGCACACGACACCCTCCTGCAGCGCTTGCACCCGAAGCTCCGAGAGCTCCAGCCATTGGAAGGCCCCTGCTGCGTCTGTCTGCCCAGAGCAGGGCAGCTGGTCAAGGAAAATCAAGTTGGCCAGGGGTAAGCCCACACCACATGCCAGGCCCTGTACGAAGTGTGTGATGGGCATTCCTTCACGTCTCCTCACTTGTCCTCTACAATTATGTGTTGTCACCCCAGTTAGTGGTGGGGGCTCAGAGAGAGAAGGGACCTGCCCAAAGTTACTCTGCTGGTGAGAGGAGCTGGGATCTGCCTCACACCAAACATGGGCTCATCCCATCCCCCACCTTCAGCACCCCGGATCTGCACTGTCCCCAGAGCCCTGTGCCAGAGCTCAGCCTGAGCCCACTGTTCTCTCCAGTTGCACCTTCTTCCCCCAACAGACATTAAGCATCTTTGGAGCAAAAGCCACCACAGGCCACAGGGGGTTCCCCTTTCAGCTCCCAGAGAGCCCCACGCCCTCTCTCATGCCAGCCTTTGCCCTTACTCTGCCCTCTGCTGGGCACACTCTCCTTTTTCATTTCTCTTCACCAGAGTCCTTTACCCTGCATGTCTCAGCTTGGCCGCCACCTCTGGGGAGCCTTCCCTGATCTCAGGTCCAGGTTAATGCTTCTTTAGGCAGCCCTGGCCCTCCTGGGCTCCCCACAGAGATCTCTAAATGATAACTGGCTCCTCCACCTGGCCATGCACCCCCCAGCCCCCAGCCCAGAGCCAAGTACAGAGGACTTGGGGATGCTTCTAGAATGTGTGTGCACTGCACCCTAGCATTGCTTGGACCTGACCCCTTTGTGCCACTTCCCCCCCAGACCCCCTGGGGGCCCAGCCACAGAACCCATAGCTCCTACAAGCCCTGGGTCCCAAAGGATACAGGCCAGGCCAGCAAGGAGGCCGCAGAGGAGCTGCAGGAACGGGGGCTCAGAGCTGAGCAGCAGGGTCAGGCTCAGCAGCAACCAGGGCAGCAGCCACAGTGGCAGTGCCCCCCGGGGCCGTCCAGGGCAGTGACCCTCCCTCGCCAGCATGGCCAGGTGGACAGGCATGTATCCGCAGCCGCTGGCCACGCTGGGCACCCCAACTGCCTCTAGCAGCACAGCCAGCAGCCCAGTGGCCAGGGCAAGCAGGGCCGAGGTGTGCAGGAACCGCAGAGTGCCCAGGCGGTGCTCCTGCTGCCAGCCCAGCGTGGCCAGGAGCAGCAGGCTCAGGAGCAGGCTCGGCAGGGCCGTGTGGCCCAGGGCGTAGGTCAGCAGCCGGTGCGCTGGGAGAGAGGAGGGGCTTAGGCGCCAGGTTAACAGCCCCAACCTCCAAGGCTGCCCAGCAGTGCCAGGTTGTGGGTTACTCTCCACCAGGGCCACCCGCTGAGCCAGCCTCCCCTCCAGGAGCCAGAGTCTGCCCACTGCCAGCACTTAATGAGGAGAGAACCAAGGGCCACCATGGCCACACTCCTGCTGTGTTCAACAGAGCAATCATTATCTAGTGCTGACTATGCCCCAGGCACCATGAACGTGCTTCGCATACACATTTACTGAATCCTTCACATGGGCTCTGATGAGACTGTCTGCTTCAGTCCTGGACCACCACCCCACCCCACCTCAGCTGTGTGACCCTGGACGAGTCACTTAACCTCTCTAAGCATCATTTGGTTTCCTCAAATGTAAATTGTAGCTGTTATTGGAAAACGTGCTCAGCAGAAGACCTGACTTATTTTCACTGTGAAAGAGAAGCCATTAGAAAAGAAAGAACTCCCACCCATAATCTTCCAGCCCACCCTGCTGGCCCTGCATCCTCGCTTCTTGCCTAGGGATGAGCTGGGCATGCTCCCATCCCAGGTCGGCCTTCTCCAAGGCACTGGGTCCCCTCCCGACTGGGCCCCTCTCACCTGTAGCACTGACTTCCCCTCTCTCCGGGGTGTTCCTGTCACCTCCCAAACACCCTGCAGGCCTCCCCGCCTCCAGCCACCACCCGTCTGCTCCCCTTTAGAGCAAAACTGCTAAAGAGCCACCTCTCCTCCCCGCCTCCACCACCTCTCCTGGCCTCCCTCATCCCTGCCGCTCCTCAGAAGTCACCCTCTCCTCAGAAGTCACCCTCGTCAGGGTCACCAGTGACCTCCCCCAATGCCAGGAGCGATCTGGATCTCTACCCTTACCCCTGGCCATCCCATCCATTCTAGACTTCCAATGCCATGGATACACTGACACCTTCCAAATTTCTACCTCCAACCCAGATGCCCGACTCACGCTCAACTGCCAACTCAGTCTCTGCCTCACGTGTGTCTCATCGGCCTGTCAGACTTCATGTGTCCAGAGCCAAACTCCCTATTTTCCACCAAACCTGCTCCCTCCAGGATCCCTCATCCTTCCACTTGCTCAGGTTCCAACATTCAAGTCAGCTCTGTCCTCAAAATGTATCTGCAAAGTCACTCCGTCCCACAGCCTTCCCTGCCTCCTAGTCCAGGCCATCATCTCACACCAGGATTTTTGCTATGACCACCTCACTGGGCTCCTGGCTTCCACCCCTGCCCTCCTTCAGTCTGTTCCCCAGCCGGGCAGGTGGGGGGCTGTCAAAACCCAAGTCAGGGCATGTCACTGTGCTGCTCAAAGCCATCCAATGACCCCCATTGTACTCAAAGTCAAAAACCAAAGTCCTCAAGACCCTACATTCCCCCAGTCACTCTAGTCCCACCACCACGGCCTCCATACACCAACACCCTCCCACCACGGGGCCTTTGCTCTGCTGTTCCCCCCGCCTGCAATGCTCTTTCCTGGATCTCTGCATGGCTGACAGGTACCCTCGGTCTCTGCAGGGCTCTGCCCCATGTCACCGTCTCACAAAGGCCTTCCGGAATGGCCCTATCACTCTTTCCCCCCACTCTGCTTCACTTGCTTCTCAGTGCATATCAGCACCTGACCTACTAGGCAGTCAGTTGTTTGTGTGTCTCCCCCTTCCAGATTGCCAGCACCATGAGAACAAGGCCTTCGCTTTGTTCACTGTTGCATCCCCAGCACTGAGAACCATGCATGGTATGAAGTAGATGCTTGATGAATATTTGCTGGCTGACTGAATGAATGGACAGACAGGTGCTTATCAAATTCCATTTTGTGTAATATAGTCACTCAGGGACCTGCTTGGGCAGCTCCATACAACTGTCCTCGATAAAAGATGAGCTGCTAATATGACCCCCAGTTTTCAGGTGCAGAAGCTGAGAGAGGGCAAGTGACTGGTCTCAGCCCCACTGCAAGTCTCCTGCCTCCTCCAAGGCCCACGTGGCCCTCACCCTGCCAGGGTTCCAGCAGCAGTTCCGGGGCCAGGGTGAGGCTGGGGCCAGCCCCCACCAGCCACAGGCCACTCATCAGCAGCATCAAAGTGGAGGAGGTGAGAGGCAGGGCCGGGAACAGTGGGCCAGGGCGGGCCCTGGCATGCATGTCGAGAGTGGTCAAGAGTGATCCTAGGGCTGTATGCTGGGGGTAAAGGAAAATAATAGCAATGGTTACTATCACAGCCTTTATCTCAATGACTCCCTCTCACCCACCCTACCAACAGCCCTATTTTACAGAAGTGGAAACTGAGGCTGAAGAGGCAAGCTAAGCAGCTTGGCCATGGCAGAGCTTGGACCCTAACCCATGTCCTTAGCCATCCTGCCATCCTGCCTGCCCACGTGTAAGGATGGCAGAGGCCAGGCCCAAACGGCCCTGAGCCCTGATGACCCCGAAGAGGGGTCTTGGAGTGGGAGGCACAGGCCTAGGGAAGTTGAACTGGGGCCCTGAGCTCCTAGAAAGAGGGGTGCAGTGCCGCAGGGCAAATTCAGTGCCATCTCCAGCCCTTCCTCAGGCCAGCTTCCTAATTGGCCAGCCACCTTCCTCCCTCCTCCCCTCCACTGTGCCCAGCCTTAGAGCTCCAGGCCATCTGGCCCAGCCAGGCTGGCCTAGGATGCCCTTGACTGAAGAGGCAGGGCCTCCAAGATTCTGCAAAATGGGCCAGCCAATAGACAAGCAGATTGGGGATGGGGTGGGGCAGGAGGGCTGGAGGAGGGGCAACATAAGTCCTCGCCCCCTGCACCCATACAAAGTGCCACTAGATACAGCCACCCTCTTCCTAACTGGGACCTATCACAGCCCCTCTGCTCTGCCATTTCCTGCTGCATGTCCCTGGGCAAGTTTCCCAACCTCTGAGCCTCTCCCTCCTCATCTGTAAAATGGGGATTAAGAAAATCCTTTCCTGGAAGTGTGCTGTCACATTATAGGGAAAGCAACTAAGGTCACATAATAATGTGTGTATAAATTTTTGTATGGGAAACTAACTCGAACTGTAAACTTTCACTTAAAGCACAGTTTAAGAAAAAAATCCTTTCCTCACAGTGATGAGAAAAAGGTATGGGCTAAGGCAGGGCCTGGTCCACAGCTCCTACTCAGTAAACCCTGGCCATCCCTGCTAACTGTGGGAGGCAGATATAGACACCAGCTGGCTGGCCAGACTCCCTGTTCTGGCCTGGCTGGTCTAAGCCCTGGCCCTCAAACATGTCCATTCCCTGCCTCCACAAGGCAAGGCATTCTCTTCCCTGATATCCCCTCTCCCATCCAGCCTGTTGTCCAGGCTAGGCCTCCACCCTCCCATAGGGCAGGAAGTAGAACCCCAGAGAGACAAGAAGGCTGCCTCACCTGCTCCCCTGCCAAGAGCAGCCTTAACATCAAAACCCACCTGCCAGTTTCCAGTAAGAAAAATGTGGCAAGTTCCTCTGCCTGCAATGTCCTTCCCTCCATCTTTCCAACAGGCAAACTCCTATTCACCCTTTGAAGCCCAGCTCAAATGTCTCCTTTGGCCCTTCCCCTTCCCAACATAGATTTTATCTCATTTTACAAGCACGGCTTGGCCTGGGTGTTCCTAGCACACAGTAGGTGCATTCTGTGTGCTCGCTGAAAGACACTAGCTTGGCTCTGGTTCCACAGAGGGATTTAGGGTGAGCCCTGCCCCTCACTGTGCTGAGCCATCTTTGAGGTCCTTTCTAGGAAGGCCTGCAGGTGCCAGCTTTGTCCTGAGGCTGGGTCTGTAGCCAAAGAAGCCACTGCAAGCCTCTTCCAGCACTCTCACAACTATTCCCTCCCAAGGCACTGTGGGGAGGGTGAAGGACTTGCCCATGGACACCCAAAACTAGAACTTCAACCCTCTGGGCCTCAGTTTTTTCATCTACAAAATGGGGCTGTGCACCATCAGGCCCAGCGTACCTTACTGGGAAGCTGGGAGGACAGAATGGGAAGACAAGGACAGGGAAGATTCTTCCGGGTGGTAAAAAGTGTGGGGGATCCCTGGGTCTGGGTCGGACTCAGCTTTGTGACTTTGGGCACAGTACCCAACTTCCTTGGGCCTCAGTTTTCCCTGCTATAAAAACAACGTTATTAGATGAGAAGGGATTAAGGGACCTTCCCAACCTCGACCGTTAAGGGGTTTGTGGGGGGGGGGGTCTCGGAGCCGGGCTTGGCGTTCTGGACCTCCCACCCTGCCGACCGGCCTCGGCCCCCTCCCCCGCCGCCAGGCCACGTGTCCGAGGTACTCACTGCGGAGCGCGGCCCCCCACCCCCGGGAGGCCGAGCGGGACCCCGGTTGGCAGTCGGGCTTCTAACACCCTACTGAGGCCCAGGCGCCCGAGCTTAAGCCGAACACACGCGGGCGCGTGACCCCGACCAGCCGCCACGCCGCCCCCTCCCCCGTCCCCTGCCGATTAGTGAGCAGTTGTTTTAGACACCGGTCCCTTCCCCCAGACCTCCCGCCGGCCTCCGTTTTCCTCCAGGGCAGACTCTTCAGAGACGGTCCCTAGAGCCAGCGGACGTAACCATTACTAACCACCTTGCTTTTTGCGAAGAATCACAAGGTTTGATACTAAGACCCGCTCACCGGCCGCTGTAGCCCCTGCACTGTTTTTGGCCCGCGCTTCGTCGCATCCAGCACCCTTTAGAGAAGACTGGGACAAGAGTTGCGGGGGCAAACGACGAGAAAGTGGTGATTCATCCCTCCTTATTCCACCCCCGTGGCCTGGCCCGATGGTAGCGCCCGAGGTTGCGGGCTTCGCGCCTGCGCACTGCGGGGCCTAGGGGGAAAGCGAGAGGAAGACGGACGTTGAGAGAACGAGGAGGAAGGAGAGAAAATGGCGTCCACGGGTGAGTGTGGTGGAACCGCGGTCGCGCTGGCGACGGCTGGGACGCTTAAATGGGAGACTGCTCCTCCATGGGGGTAACTGGGGCGACCGAGTGGAGTTGCCGAGAGGGGTTTGAGGTACCCTTCACGGCCAGACGGGCTCGGGTGCCAGCGCTCCCCTCCTCTCCCCTCCCCCCACCGGCAGGCCGGTTCTGGAACCTTCCGGCGCCCCTGGCGCGCGGAGGGATCGCGGCGGCGCGCGGCTGCGGGGGCGCGCGGGACCCGCCGAGGCCTCCATTGTGTGGCTGCAGTCAGGCCCCGCGCTCGGGGCTGCCCGCCACGTGGGCGGGGCATTCAGCCGGGCACCCCGAAACCGGGGCCGCGGGGCGGACAGCCCCAGCTGTGAGTGGAGCAGCCGCGGGCCCGCTGTTTCTATGATTGATTTCTCCACCTCTTTCCAAAAGGCCGCCCGAGCGGAAGGGGCGACTCTTCCCCTTGGAGAAGCCCGGGGGGAAAAGCAAACAAACAAAAAAAGGTTTCGCGGATTTGCGAGCTGAGGGGCGCCGGCCTCTCGCTCGGCCTATGAGTTGGAACCCCGTCATCCTTGCTCCCTGGGCGGCTGCGGGCGTCTAGCGCCGCCGAGCAGCCTCTCCGCGGGTTCCAGCGCGAAGCGGAACTTCGGCCCCATTGGACTGTGGACGGAATGCCCTTCCCCCCTTGAGATCCTCCAATCCGTTGCTCTCTGGCTTTTTCATTTTTTTCATTATTTCTAAACCGCCCCCCACCTGTCCTCCCCAAAAGCGGTTCCTAGGGCCCTTTTGCAGCCAACGCTGAGGGAGAGTCGTTGTATAATAAGGCCAGCCTGGATCACGAGGCCAGCAATCCTCTTATAAGAAATTTCTGACTTCTTTGCCTTAAGAGGAACAAAAGGCCCGAGCTAGCATTTTAATTGTGCTTCAGCAATCGTCTCGCACGTTTATTCGCCTCCATTGGGGCGACAGGCGTGTTTATGTCGTGGGCTGATAGAGGAAAGGGAAAGAAGGCTCACCGAGGACTTTGAAAGAAAGCCCAGCGTGGGAACTCTAGAATGCGGTGTATAAGGTGGTCCCTGTTGCACGGAATGGTTCCTTAAGAAGGCTGTCTAAACATCACCTGCAGTTTGTAGCACCTTTGTGCACTCACCGGATGTTGCTGGCAGGAGCGAGCACTTTTGCGTCTGAGGGTATTCTTAGGCGGGCTGACTCTTAGCCTTAGGGGCAGTGGGAGGAGATGAGAGGGAAAGATAAGAGAAGCTGTGGGTCTCTCCGAGTTTTAGTTGGAGAAGAGTCCAGAATCTAGCAACTTAAGGACATGTTTCTGACGCTCCGCCACTGTGTGGTTAGTAAACAGGTGAATTCTCTGGCTGAACGTGGCCCTAAAAGAGGACTCTGAAATCCCACAGTCCACGTGTCCTTTCCTCTCACCCTCCCCTTCCTTGCAGTTTGAATTTTGTGAGGGCGGTGTTTTTAGCCTTAGGAGGCAGATGTGTACGTCCAAATTTTCATTCAGCATGGCTGGATATGCTATTTTCTCAGTCACCTTTGCTCAAATCCTGTTGTTATCCACGATGTACTGTATTAGAATTAGTTGTGGTTGATGCAGACACATACAGTATTAGACTGGCTGGGGGGGGGGGCTTGGAGGAGTTCATGTGACTTACCTGAACCTTAGTTTCCTTTCCTGCAAAATGAGGGTGTTAGGCTAGATCTTTTAAGGATTTTTTGAGCCCTTAATTTCTGACTTTACAGCAAAGCACATTGACTACCACAAAGCTGCCCTTTACTGACTTTAAATTACTTTGTAGTCTGAATATCTGAATCTCCACAGTTTGGGTAGTGACTAAAGTATCTAAAAGCTACTGTCTTGAGTAACGTTAGATGTTCTCCTATGTATATGGTATATAGAAAAGTACCCAAAGCGTATGTCTAGTTTAACAAAATTACAACACAAACGCCCAGATCAAGAAATAGAACATCGCCAGCACTCTAACCCCCTGCATTACAGCCCCCTTCCTCTCCCCAGCCTGTCCTGTATTTTTAGTGAAGTCTCTAGCTGCATTGGGGATTAAAAACAAAATACAACTGGTTGCTAAATAATCTGACTGGGGTGTAACTAGCACATTTGAGGTCATATAATAATGTTTGTGCTGTGGTAGATGAAACAGTAATTTTCATGAAACCAGCTTGTTGCTTCACTAGTATGGGGCTAAATCCTCTAGTTTCACACTGATCTGACTTCATCACTTGTTCCCTGTCATCTTTGCCAGTTTTGTTTTACATAACTGCTCCTGTGTAAAAGTCCTCTTACAAACGTTGAATTTACATATTAGCGACTTAAAATCATTTCTCACACACACAAAAAAAAAAAAAAAACAGCAAAATGTGAAGTGAAATATTTTAGGTGCTTCGTTGGTATGTTTTTGTGAATGCCACATGGAAGAAATTATTTGCATTTACTTTTACATGTCTCATAAAGAGCATGACTTGTGCTGTTGAGAATGCCTCAATGTTGTCTTAACAAAACACTTTATTCATCATAGATAGCTTTTGGGCAATTAATTTGATGTTGATGATTCAGGATCCTGAGTTTAGGGGTATACAGAAAGTGGCTAAGTGAAGTGTGGAGAAGTAGATAAGCCAACTTAAAGAGATTGGTTTAGCAAAATGTTGTCAGGACTGTAAGGCCAGCTTTGGAGGATGGAGTAGGGTAGAACTACTCCATGAAGAACTGAAATGCAAACTATTGCTTTTGGAGGAGGGACTGCTTTCTGGTTAGAAAAGGACCGTTTTGTTCAGTCCTAATGGCAGTACTATCTTCAAACAGAACAAAGTATGTATTCTTGTTGAAGGATAAAACAATTGGGCAGAATTTAAAAAAAATTATTCACTGCTTTTTAAAAATAAACTGAGCTTATATAAGTTTGTTTCAGTAGTGCTCTGAAAACTTCTGTTTCCACTAGTAGGCACTTCAGTGGACCAAAGTTTAGTCCCTTTTTTGGCACATGTTGTAAATTTCATATGAAATGGAAAACTGGAAAGGTTTACTTAGAGAAGGGAAGAAAATTTGTGGCATTTTTTAAAAAGTTAAAATCACTTAATATTTAAAAATAAGGTGGTTTTACCTGAAACCAAATTATTTAGAAAAGATTGAATGCTTCCTCCTCTTTGCCAGTTTCCAGGATTCTGCCTTAAATCTGCATCACTGGGGTTTATAATATATCTAGTTTTTGAGTTATTGCACAAATGTAGCCCTGACACAGTCCACAAACCCTTTAAAACACTGGGTTGTGACGCCTGTTCTCTTGTTCTTTGCCATTTCATTTCACAGTCATTGTCCTGCTAGGGAGTTAGGGTTGGTCTGACTTGCTAAAGTGATGCAGTGATAGAAAATCTAGTTTTTGAGGAGATAGATACAGCTATGAGTGGAACCAGTCTGATGTTAAACACTGAAATATTGTTGCATACTTTTTTATATGATGGTAAATGTACACTTTTGATCCTGTTAGTGAGTCTTGTTCTCTGTGGGTCTTAGGATCATGGTCAGGTACTTGAAATCACAGCTTGAGTTTAACTGGCCCAGACTTACTCTTTGGTTTGGTGTCAAGAGATGAGAGGTACATCTGTGTTAGCCTATAGGTCAACTTAAAGAATTCTTCCTACCATCTGAATTCCTTTCCTTTTTTTTCTCTTCTCATTTTACATATATTTTCTCTTCTTGTTTTCTCTAGATTACAGTACCTACAGCCAAGCTGCAGCCCAGCAGGGGTAAGTCAGTCTTTTATGACAGTATTTTGTCTGTGGTTGGTTAATGTTTTTAGAGTACAGAGTCTCCTATAGATGTAGAGGATATAGTGATGGAATCTGGATGTTCTATATTCAGTTCTTGCATTTAATTTCTTTTACAGCTACAGTGCTTACACCGCCCAGCCCACTCAAGGATATGCACAGACCACCCAGGTATGCTTTAAGATGATTATATGTAGCTGCGTCTCCAAGTAAAATGTTTCTATCAGCCATTGAAATAGCTAGCACAGATCTTTTTCAAAAATTAGGTAACAGAAAAGTGAAATAGGAATGTGCTTGTAATCGTAAAATACCCAGGTATTTAAACTTTCACAGTGGGAGTGCAAGGGACTTCATTCTGCCATCATAGGTGAAACCTTTGGTGCCCTGCGCCATGCTTGGTGCTTCTGCATATTTTATTATTTTAAATTTATTTAACTTAGTTAATCACCACAACAATGCTGTAGGTTTAAGATGATATTATGACTATTTTACGGTAAAAAAAAAATTGCAGTGCATAAAGATTGTGTAATTTACTGTGGTAGCACAGTCAGTGGCAAGGTCAGCTCTAAAAGCCATGGCTGCCTGCCTGTGGAGCTCCTGAGCTCTTTCCAGTACACAAGTCTCTGTTTAAAAGCCTGGGCCAACAGATT